CATGGCCAACTCGACATAATAGATGTATGAAATGGGTTGAGAAGTATGTGTATGGTGATACAGTATATATAACTCAACGTCATATTTCAGCACACACCTGGTAGCCCAAGGCGACAAGAAACTGCAGGCAGGTGAGTGAGTGAGTGAGCTGGCAGAGGAGGGATGGATCACTCTGTTCCGCCTCTGGGCACAGCATAGAAACCAAGTGGGCTACCAGAGGAGGGAAACCCTCCCCATGCCCAGAATGGAAATGCAAGGAGCTGCTGCATTGAGCAATGAAGTTGTCCATTCCTTCTTTTGCAGCCTCCAGCAGGACGATACTTCTTCCTCCTGCCCTGCCTTCTTTTCTTTTTTGCAGGCTAGTAACTTTTGTGGCCTTATTAGGCCAATGTAAATATGGGTTGAAAACCAAATTATCAAAATTAGAAAAAAAGATAATGAACAGTCTTTGTTTCAGAAGTGCTAAGCACAGTAAAAGGTAAAGGTAAAGGTACCCCTGCCCATACGGGCCAGTCTTGACAGACTCTGGGGTTGTGCGCCCATCTCACTCAAGAGGCCGGGGGCCAGCGCTGTCCGGAGACACTTCCGGGTCACGTGGCCAGCATGACAAGCTGCATCTGGCGAGCCAGAGCCGCACACGGAAACGCCGTTTACCTTCCCGCTAGTAAGTGGTCCCTATTTATCTACTTGCACCCGGGAGTGCTTTTGAACTGCTAGGTTGGCAGGCACTGGGACCAAACAACGGGAGCGCACCCCGCCGCGGGGATTCGAACCGCCGACCTTTCGATCGGCAAGCCCTAGGCGCTGAGGCTTTGACCCACAGTGCCACCCGCGTCCCCACTAAGCACAGTAGGAGTACCATATTCAGTTGAGAAACTTTTTGAAGCGAGAAAGCCACCAATAATCCTTATGCAGCCCCTCAGAAATGGTGTCAGATTTATTAGTGCTTACAGGCCCTGAGGTTTCCTGAACAATTTATTATAAAGGCAAGTTTGATGGTTGATGGATCCAAATCCAGGACAAGAATTTGAATCTTTGCCACAAGGTGAAGTTGGTGAATACCACTACCACTACTAGCTGCGGCCTGAAGATGTAGGCCACAACAGTCCTAGAGACAAAGTAGGTCTTCAAACAACCAATACCAGCAGGAAAGTGGTTCAGCCTTCCCCAAACTGGTGTCTTCTACAGTAGATGTTTAGGAGCTAACAATCTGGTGCTAAAACATCTGGAGGGCACCAGGTTGGGAAACTCAATGCCTAGAATACTCCATGCCTAGTTTGTGTGCTGACTGCTTTCAGACCATCAAACATGATAACTATCTTTGCCTCAGAATTACCAAGTCTGATGGACTTCCGGCAGTCCCTATTCCATATGTGTGATTCATTGCAGGACTGAAGCCACTTGTATTTAAATAGACGTGTAAGCTAATATTCAGCTAATAAGTTTTAGTTTTTGCCACACATGAGACAATCTGGCAAATGAATGTGACAGAATTTAATCTACACACACAAACATTTCTGTTCATGTTTACTCAGAAATGATGCCCGTTGTGTTCAGTATCACTCCCAGATAAGTGTCTATAAGCGTGTATAGGGTTGCAGCATAAATATTAAGGTCCTAGAGGCAGAATGTGTGTCAGACTAGACTGGTTTGAGCTTGTATGTACGATGAATGATTGAGCACACTTTACTGCTGCTTACCAGATGCCAAATGACTCTGCTATTACAAAATCTTTTGACAGATCCGCACAGTAAAAGGAGATTCAGGTGCATCACACAGCTCTTGGAGAGCACCTAGTCATAGATGATAATTACTATGTAAACAACCACTCACAGCAAGCTGCTGTTGCTTTCAGGCTCTTAGAGGGTAGGAATACTCATAGGATTTTGTTTTGCTGGTAAGTGGACTGGTTGATGGGAATACAGTCGTCTTGGTGGAGTTAAACATAATTCTGGGTCCATAAAATCCCCATAGTAATTAGCAGTAATTTGGTGTTTACCGTTAGTAATGACAGGGCTCTGCAGTTTGCTTTTTGTTGTGTCAGCATTTAAAGAAAAACAGGTTTTCAGACCCCACCCACCCACCCCAAAACAATCACCTTATTTCAGCTGGTATATGTTTTTGTAAGCTAGCTTAACATTCTGCAACCATTTCAATTATTTATTTTTATTTGATTACATTTATACTCCATCTTCCCTGCAAGGACCTGAAGGTGGCATGCAGCACATGGTTATTTCCTTCCTCGTTTTATTCTCACAACAACCCTGTGAGGTAGGTTAGGTGGAGAGACAGTGAGTGGTCTCCAAATAATTTTACCCAAGAGTACACCCCTTGAAATTAATGTGTGTGGCTAAGTTAGCTCTGTTAAATTCAGTAGGTCTAAGTAAAACTTGGTTGGCTGCCACCCTGTGAACTTCATGGCAGAATGGGGATTTTTGGACACTGGTCTCCCAGTTCCTAGGGCAATAGGGGATATAAGAGAAGAGAAACCAAGGGAATGCTGTAATACTCCCATAGGAATGTCTTTCTCCAGGTGCACTGCAGGTTATAAACAATGCTTTCAGCACCTGCTGAGCAACCAGTCTGCTCAAATAACCTAAAACGAGAGTGCTGAAGGAGCTGCCTGAGCGAAATTCTGACTTAAGATTCAGAAAGCCAAAGATAAATCAGAACAATAAGGATACACGGGAGACACGCAAGACAGGCATGCAGTGTTGAAAGCTGAGAGTAGGGAGAAGTATCAAGGGCAGGTGCCAAGCTAGGGATAAGCAGGGGAGGAGCTGGATCTGTTTCTGCACACGCTGTTGATTAATACATTAATGAGTGTTACTCTGTGTTTCATCACTAAGTGACTTACAGCTGAATTGTGTCAGCTGCCTCCACAGAGAAATATTGTGCTTCAGGTGATGGCAGGTGATATGGGAAAGCTCTCTAGACTTTGGAACTACGAGCTGCTTTGCTCCTGGAAGTGTGACTGTTTGGTGTTTCAGTCACTGCAACATGCACATCTCAATTCACTCTAATCCCAGTTCATTCAATTCACTGAGGGCCTTCTGGCGGTTCCCTCACTGCGAGAAGTGAGGTTACAGGGAACCAGGCAGAGGGCCTTCTTGGTAGTGGCGCCCACCCTATGGAACACCCTCCCTTCAGATGTCAAGGAAATAAAACAACTATCTGACTTTTAGAAGACATCTGGGCAGTCCTGTTTAGGGAAGTTTTTAATGTTCGATGTTTTATCGTGTTTTTAATATTCTGTTGGGAGCTGCCCAGAGTGGCTGGGGAAACCCAGCCAGATGGGCGGGGTATGTGTTTGTGTATATATATTATACACATATAATTAAGTTTGGACCAATGAGGCCAGTATCCACAGAGCTTGACAACAGTAGAGTGGGGGGGGAAAGAGATGGAGGAAAATAATTTGAGTCTTTAGTTTTATAATTTCTCCTCTACCCTGTTGGGTGTTTCAATTGTGTTTGAAAAGAAATGAAAAATAAAATATGTTTTAATGGCAACAGCATTCCTAATGGTTTAATTTTAGGTGGTCTCGCGTAATCAAAGACATACTTAGCACTCGGTTGCTACAGAAATATGAGTGCTAAATAAAGGTTTCCAGATGCTAATGTGTGTTTGTGTGCCAGATTTCAGGATGAAACTGTAGTGGGAAATGCAAAGCACGTGTTTGTTTCCCCCCCTTTCCAGTCTGTATAAAGGGGATAAATCCATCAAGTTCTCCTACTAGATGTATCTCATGCACTTCCAGGCCAAACTAGATTGGAGCTGCCACCCGCTTCTTGTCTCGTTTCTCTTGCTTCCTTGTACGTACAGTGGTACCACGGGTTAAGTACTTCATTCGTTCCGGAGGTCCGTTCTTAACCTGAAACTGTTCTTAACCTGAAGCACCACTTTAGCTAATGGGGCCTCCTGCTGCCACCGCACCACCAGAGCACAATTTTTATTCTCATCCTGAAGCAACGTTCTTAACCCGAGGTACTATTTCTGGGTCAGTGGAGTCTGTAACCTGAAGTGTATGTAACCCGAGGTACCACTGTAATTACAAACAGCATGTGACATTCATTGCACTATGCATTCGTCTGCCCTCCTCTGCAAATGATATGAGGAAAGGAACCATGCGGTGCAATGGCATGTCACATGTTGTTTGTGTTAGATGTTATAAAGAAGTGAGGAAGAAGAGATGTGGAGCTCTGTGTCTCTTAAAACATCTAGTTGGCACTTGCTTGCACTTCTTCAGTACCAACCCATTTTTCTTAAGACCATAAACTACTCACCATTTGTTTATTATCATTTTAACCTAGCCTTTTTTCCATGATAGGACTCAAAAGCACTAAAAACTACATAAAACAGAATCTGAAATTTCCTTTGAAAGCTGACAAAGAAAAAATAAAAATAACAACCATAATCCCCCCCATCAAAAGTAAGAGATTTCCAGACCTATTAAAAGATGAATAAAGCTTGAGAAGTGAACTCACTTGAAACCATTCTAGAATGAAACCAGTCCTGTCTCCTGTGGGATAAAAATAAGAGTAAGTTCAACAAAATCCTCTGGGAGGGCTCTCCACAAATTGGGAGAACAGATTCTATTCCCCATAGCCACCAAACAAACTTCATTGGCTATGGTACTCAAAACAGGACTTTTGGGGATGACCAGAACACACAAGGGAATTTATGTTCATTTAAAAGATGTTCCTTAAAGTTTAAAACCAGCACTTTTAATCACGCCTGGGAACTAACTGGGAACCAGTGATGTCTTTCTAACACAAATGCAACATGTTTCCTATCACCAGCCCCAGTTAACTTTTTTCCCCCTTGAGGCCATATTCTGAGTGTGCTAGCAATATTATAATGTGATTCTTGCTCAGTGGTGTAATGTACAGTGTGGTAAAAGTATAATGCAGTGCCTTCATGATTTTATAAAATATTATTTGCAGGGAGGGTTGCTGCATTTATACTTAATTTGTCACCTTCTGTGTGTTTCTTTCCAGAGATTCGAGCTCAGCTAATAGAGCAACAGAAATGTCTGGAGCAGCAGACGGAGATGAGGGTGCAACTTCTTCAAGACCTGCAAGATTTCTTTCGCAAAAAAGCGGAAATAGAGACTGAATATTCTCGCAATTTAGAAAAACTAGCAGAAAGGTTCATGGCGAAAACAAGAAGTACTAAGGACCATCAACAATACAAGTGAGCCAAGAAACCTTGTACACTCAATAGCCCAGTTCAGCTATTGTAAAGTCTGATAAGCCATGGTTCATTGGAGTGGGCACGAGCTATGTGCCTGCCCCACCTGGCTTGGCAAATATATCCTGGTTTCCTTTAAAAAAAATAAAATCAGTTTCTTATGATGTCATAGAATTGTAGAGTTGGAAAGGGACCCCAGAGGATCCTCTAGTCCAGCCCCTTGCAATGCAGGAATCATAACTAAAGAGTCTCTGACAGATGGCCATCTAACCTCTGTTTAAAAACCTTAAGTGAAGGAAAGGTAGTTGTGTTGTTTTACCAACAGCTCTTGCTGTGAAAAAGTTCTTCTTAATGTTTAGCTGGAATCCCCAAATGAGGAAACTGTTTTAAGGGCTCCTTCCAATGTGAAACGGAAGACTGTATTCTGGTTACATATCCTAGTTTGGAGGGAGACTTTAAACCAGTGTCACAGGAAACCGGTTAAAGAAACCACAATCTATTGGGTAAAACCAGGCAGGCAAGGAGGAAGTGTGCAGGCATGTGACCTATGCTTAGTCCAATTGGATCAAGACCATGATATTTCAAGGTCGTTTAAGTGCTTTTTTCTTAAAATGAAATTACTTGGGGATCAGTTGTTTTTTTGCTGGGGGGAGGAGTCAGTTTTATATAGTATTAAAACAGCAGTATGCATTTATTTGTATTCTGATTTTTAATGTGTGTGATTACCATAGAATTGGTTGGTCCTCCTGATAACTCTGGGAGTTATTTGTGATTGTCACTTGAGAGAAGGAGATATGAGGTAGAAAGATAGTGACTGATGCCGTTCTGTGAGTTTATGATCTCTGAACAATGATCCAAATACCGAATCCCCAAGGTTCCTGTCAGCCAAATCCACCCAACCATCTCTTGCACTAAGCTGGGCAAGGGAGTAGATTGGGCAGCTCAGCTGAGTAAGACAGCTGACTACCACCAATGCAGTAATGCAAACATCCACTTCATCACACATATCTTTCCACCATCGAACATGTGGGCAGGGCAGGAGTGCCATCAGCAGGATGCCTGATGGCAATAGTCAGCGGAAGGTGCCAAAATGGGGTGTTTCATAGGTGGAACTGATCTGGTCTGGGATGGTTGGCTCTAAGTCAGTCACGCTGCCATTATTCAGTGGTATGATAGCCGATCTGGGCCTGATCACGGCAGCAGCTCAAGGCCGGCGCAGCTATGTTACTGCTTCCACGTCTGCAAATGTGGCAGTGGCCCTGCCGCTCTCATAAAGCCCTTGTGGGGGTCATGGGTTTAAGTTTAGATTGCATCCTAAACACCATCTAATTGACTGTGCTAGCTGTATCTGCTGGCTATAATTTAAGTAGTGCATAAATTTACAACATTTCCATTAACCAAAGCACTATTTCTGCAGTAATTCTATAACCAGGTTGTTGGGAAGTAGTGTAGTGGATGGGACCATTATTTCCCTCCATGAAATAAGAGTGTAGAAAGCAGAAGCGTGAAACAATCGTGTGCCTTTTTGTGCTCCTTTTCATTCATACTATTAGTCTGTCCACCTGATGTGACCTGCTTTCCACAAAGGAGTGTGGTGACATCCTGTCCCCGAGATATGTCCTTGTTTCCGGTTGCATGCTACAACGTTCAACTGGAAGCATCGTACTTTGTTGTTTGGTGACTTCCTGCATGAATATGAATGATGCTGGCAAATGGAGAGTGTCATTTAAATAGTTATATCTTTAAAATGCATACTTTTGTTTTATTACTAATGTAATAGACAACCCCTATCAAGTATATCTGAGATTCTTAACATATCCTGGTTGAGGACAACCATGAAAGATTAGAATCTCCACCACCCTTATATATGCATTGTATTAATCCCTTTTGCAATCCTGCAGTCGCCCTGATGTTCACTGTCAGTGGTTGCTTAAAGAGTGTTAAGAAATTATTACTGCATATAGTAATACAATTCTGGATATGTTTCCTTAAGTTACCCATTCCTTAATGTACTTATACAGATAATTTGTTGTGGGTGGGCATGTTCTTATCGATACTGGTAGTAAATACAAATGATGTAAAATATCTGTACTAACAGGAAAGACCAGAATCTGCTGTCTCCAGTAAATTGCTGGTATTTGCTCCTCAACCAAGTGAGACGGGAAAGCAAAGATCATGCAACCTTGAGTGATATCTACCTGAACAACGTCATCATGCGATTTATGCAGATAAGCGAAGATTCCACAAGGATGTTCAAGAAGGTACTGTATTTTGATCGCTCGGGTTTTATCTTGAAATCATAAAATTGTAAAGTTGGAAGGGAACCCGACGATCATCCACTCCAACCCCCTGCAATGCAGGAATATGCAGCTGTCCCATCGAATCTGTAACCTTGGTGTCGTCGGCACCACGCTGTAACCAACTGAGCTATCCAGGTAGTTTATGAGAGCAATCCTGGCCCCTAGATCCCAGCTGGAGGGAATCAGCATGGGGTTGGAGCCTGTGAGTAGCTGGGTGCTTCTATTCTAGAGGCCACATTTACACCCATGGAAAGAAAGCTCCACCGGCACAGATTAATTTATATATATATATATATATATATATATTCATACCCCACCCTCCCCAGCCAAGACAGGGCTGAGGGCGGCTAACACCAGGTAAAACCAATTGATTAAAATGCAACTTAAAAACAAGGTTAAGTACAACATTAAAATGCACCCTCATTTCAGTAGAAACTGAAATCAAAAACTATTTGGGGATGAAAACGTCAAATCTTCACCAAGGCCAACTATCCAGACTGGTCCTACGTGGGACAGAAAAAAGCCGGGGAAGTCCCCAAATAGGAGTTTCATCGCGGAAGGAGAAAGGAAAAAGGAAAGAGGGGAAGGGATCAAGTTGATTCCAAGCCAAAGGCCAGGCGGAACAACTCTGTCTTACGAGCTATCTACTGCTGTTATCTTATCCAAACCTCCTTCATTCCCTGCAAAGCCCAACCTGAATCTACCATAATTTTAAAAAAAAAAACAGACTGCAAAAAGATATGTAAAACTTACTGTCTAAAAAAGAAATGTGTGACTGGTGTTAGCTGACAGGGCTTAGGAAACCATCCACTACTTCACTCTCCCTCCCCCCTCCAGTTTAAGAGTGCTGTGCCCTAAAGCAATTCTATACATGTTTCCTCAGATGTAAGCCCTTCTGAGTTGAGTGAGACTTAATCCTAGGTAAGCATGTGTGGGATTGCAGCCTAAAATACATAATTTTTCAATGAATACTGTGCAGGAGGATGTAATAGCCTCCATTATGATATTACTGTCTCACTGACAGCATTTCTTACTGTAAATGTAGACCATAAAGTGCTTTTCGTGGTGAAGGTTTTTCTTAAATACAGGAAGGGTTAAAAATAAGCCCTACACTTTGTTATTAAGAGACGTATTTGTCGTCTTCACAATAGGGAGGGAAGTTCATAGATTCAACCTACCAAAGTAGAATAATACTCTATTCTTCTTAAACTACTTGAAAGAGATTCCATTTGTAGAGAATGGAGAAAAAACTGGTTGAAGCAAGAAATCTCCATGCTGTGCTATAAGCTTACTGGCTGGGGCAGCCCAGTCAGATGGGCGGGGTGCGAATTATTATTATTATAATTATTATTATTATTATTATTACTACTACTACTACTACTACTACTACTAGGGACGCGGGTGGCGCTGTGGGTTAAACCATAGAGCCTAGGACTTGCCGATCAGAAGGTCGGCGGTTCGACAGGGTGAGCTCCCATTGCTCGGTCCCAGCTCCTGCCAACCTAGCAGTTTGAAAGCACGTCAAAGTGCAAGTAGATAAATAGGTACCTCTCCAGCGGGAAGGTAAACGGCGTTTCCGTGCGCTGCTCTGGTTCGCCAGAAGCGGCTTAGTCATGCTGGCCACATGACCTGGAAGCTGTACATCGGCTCCCTTGGCCAATAAAATGAGATGAGCGCCACAACCCCAGAGTCGCCCGCGACTGGACCTAATGGGCAGGGGTCCCTTTACCTTTACCTTACTACTACTACTACTACTACTACTACTACAAGCTTCAGTTGCTCTTTCTTGTCCAGATGACAATATATTAAACTATTATGGGTTTTCTACAGTCTGTGTATGTTGTCCTCAGGGCCAGACCAGACCAGATGGTAAAGACACATTTTCTGATTTGATTATAAAATGGGTTGAGGGGGTGTGTGCCCATTTTTCACCAAATGGACCATGTGGTGGATGGGTGTGAAGTCTCTCTTAAATCAACATAATCCTGCTGCTTGAAGATGTACCCCCTCCCTCATTGCCGAGAGCCACATTGGGAGACAATACTAGTCTGAAAAGAGGGATAAAAATATAATAAAATTATGTGGCAGAGTGAAATGCCTGAGGCAAAGAGAATGAATTGCTCTAAAATGGGGATCTTCAGTTCTGTGCTCCATTGCAGCTACACAACATAGTGAAGTACAACACTCTTCTTTGTATTCCAAAGAAAGAAGAAGAAGAAACATATGTGCCTAGCCTCTCTGAATTGGGGCATTTTATTTTATTTTATTTATTTCTGTGTTATAATTAGGAGATATGGTAGTTAGCTATTAATTGTGTTTATTGCAAAACTTGCAGCAAGGTCAGAGGAACCTCTGTTTGCCATATCACAAGCTTAGATGCCTTCCAGCGTGTTGCCTTTTATATTATTCTGTTTTCTCTGCAAACTAAAGAAGTATTTTTAGATGATGGCATGTCCATCAGCCATATAACTATAGCCTAGATTTTGAAGATATTTTTGGCTTTCCATTTTTATACAGAAGAGATGGCAGAGCAAGCACTGATTGGGCATTTCCAGTGGGCTTTCCAGCTGTCAGAAGATCAGCCTTTTAAAAATCCACCCTGCTTCTCCCTTCAGCTACATGTAAATTACTCCATAGCTGAAAGTCAGACTTACATTGCATGCGCCATCTGTCTGTACTCCACGTTTCTTGCCTTCCTGATTACGGTTTCCTAACAGCATTTAGAATATGTAATCCAATGCATAATAATATTTACATGTCAAGGGCTGCCGTACTATGCATTAAACATCAGGGCACTCAGCGGGATTTACTTCTGAGTAAGCATGCATAGGATTGTGGTATAAATCAGACAAAAAGTTACACTGCAGAATAGCTTTTAGTTCACACTTAATGCTGCTTATTTGCCTGTTAAGGCATCTAATGTTGTTCCTTGGCATGGGAGATAAAACAGCTATATAATCACTTCACATTTAATTTAATTAGAATAAGCTCTCCTTTCAATTAAGATGTTTACCACAGTTGCACTATTAATTCTATGTCAGTGATAAACATTTCTCTCTCTCTTTTTTTTAAAGGATTAATTAGATTAAATCTGTCTCTACTCTCTGATTAGGATCAGGGGGAAGAGACGTTCGTTCCATTTGCTGTCTTGCCAGGAATGCTGTGAGGTGCACAGTGGCTATTGGATCCAGTTAGCTGGAAACACTGGCCTTTGTTTTTCATCATGAATGCCAAGTAGGTATTTGTGAAAGCTTTTCAGGCCATCTAAAAGTCAATAAAACTTTTTTTTTTAAATTCAATTTCTCCTTCAGCTTTTAGGTCATGTACAAGCTCAAGGAGATCTTAACTCAAAGGCAGTGTTACAGTACAATGCATGTGATCTTTTGAATCTATGCTGTGGGTAGTGTTTGAGATTACTGGGCCCAGGAACTTGATTTCATTGGGTAGAATTGAAATACACCTGCAAAAAGAAAAGCAGAGAAGGAAAAGGGTAGATGATGCTCAGAGTTAAAACTGTCTTGTCAGCAGGGCACAGGATCAGTGGTGCATCTTTTGATATGCCAAGCTTAAAGATAGTCAGGTGCTGTTCAGAGTTGTATTCAGAGAACTTGTATCTGTATTGAAGATGCTGTAAAAAACACCCAAGAATAGCTTTTACTGTTTAGGTCAGGCATAGGCAAACTCGGCCCTCCAGATGTTTTGGGACTACAACTCCCATCATCTCTAGCTAACAGGACCAGTCTTTCAGCCTCACTCACCTCACAGAGTGTTTGTTGTGGGGGAGGAAGGTAAAGGAAAATGTTAGCTGCTTTGAGACTCCTTAGGGTAGTGATAAAGCGGGATATCAAATCCAAACTCTTCTAGTCTCAAAACATCTGGAGGGCTGAGTTTGCCTATGCCTGGTTTAGGTCACAGTGGCCTAGAAATCCACTATGTGTAGTCTTTTCCCCCACTGTCAGACCAGAGAAAGGCTTCCAATATTAGGCGCCTGGATTCCCAGATTTCCCATTTTGCTGTACTAGTTCCTTTGAATCGAAGTGACTCTCCAGGGTTTTGATATATTCAGCAACAGCTAGTGAATTGGGGGGCACAATATGGTCCTAGCTGCTACCACTTGCTTTTCTCACTGAGGGTGGCCAGGGTGGTGGAAGACACTGGGAGTGGGTCACTGTGCAGGTGGCATGGCTGCCACCTGGTGCCCTCATTCGAAAGAGGCAGGGAGGCAGAGCGTCAGAAAGGTACACATAAACATTACTTTGCATCTCGGGCTTCCTCTCTTCTCACATCCAAGCTGGGGACAGCCATTTCATCAGACTACTTCCGTAGGAGAGATGGGAAGCAGGGCTCCCTCCATCAGATTTGCTGAAAGACCAGCTCCGTCAGGCTCCACCCATCCCTGAAATGGGCCAGCTGGTCATTCTAGTATTATAATGGCAGAAGATCTTAGACTGCAGTCTTAACCCCACTTACCTGCTGAACTTTAATAGGACTTACTTCTGAGTAGACATGATTAAGAAGCAGTGTCACTCTACTTAATTTACCAAGTATCAGTTTGCACTCAAACTCCTCAGTGCATTAATAAATGAAGCCAGTTACTGTTTTGACAGAAAATGTGTATTTTTTTATTACTAGATATTTTTAAAAAGAAATACAATGCAAACAGATTAATAAAATAGTGTAAACTCTGGGAAAATTAATTAGGAAGAATATAGTGGCCTTAATTTAATACAAGAAGATTGGTTTAATCTCCTTCAATGAAGTTTTAATACGAGTCTTCTCTGTTAAATCCGTAAATGTATTCATTAGTGAAATTATCAATACAAGTAGGCATTCTATATCAGCAAGGTTTTTCTTTCTTTCTAAAAACACACTGAGTAACTCATAGGGTCTTGTCACATATTTGCCAAAGGAAAACAGTCATTTCCTTACATGCACACATCCTGCAGGGAGCTGTAGCCAACAGCCCTATGGACTATGGCACACCAATAAAATATAACACCAAATCCTACAATTTCAGCACAAATGTACGTCGTCATAGTTCCTACAAGTATGTATTCTTCTACTAAGCACTTTTTCTGGTGTTTGAACTATTTTGATCAGCAGACCTTTAGTGGCCTTGAACAAAAATGTCAGAGGGCTGGGTGTTCTCCGCATATGCACAATGGCACTATTTAATAATTGGATACTGCCCATTTCTGTTTTTAAAAAACAGGACCAAGTTTAACGTAAAATCAATTGGCTTGCCTGTGGGAAGTACTAAAGGTATAGGTGCGGGTTTCTGGGGTACAGGCACAAAAACGCAAAGTTAGGGCAAAAAGTAATGAAAGCTAAAAAAAGGAGAGAATTACACTGAAAGTCAGGATAATGCAGAAGGCTTCTTTTGGCCCCTCTTTGTATGCTTTGGCACTGGTTTCAAGCCAGGCTTCTCGGCAACCTTTCTAACCTTTGAACATGCTGCAAGTCTGCAAATAGAGAAGCCCACACAATCAAAGATGTGATCATTAATTTGATTGCACATGCAAATGCGAATTGCTTGTTTCCAAAAGATTAAGTGGAGATAATGAGAGTGAGAAATTGTTTAATTCTTTATAAGGTGACATCTGGGTCTCCAATTAATAGCACACACAAAATGTAGCATTTGTAAGTTAGATCCTGCTAGCCCCTGCATGTTGAATTGACTTAAAACTGCCAGTACGGATGGAAAAGCAGTTCTATGCAGCGTGGTGGAGGGGCACAGCAACAAGACTAGAGAGCGGAGAGTGTGAGAGGATTGTAAAGCAGCTAATTTCTAAGATCATGGAGAGCCAGGTTTAGGAACAATGTTGAAGAATGGTGTATTTTCAGGCAGCAGCAGAGTGTCCTAGGAGATTTAAATGCCCTTCCACTGATTCCAGGACACTCTCAGAACACTCTGCTGCTGACCTGAAAGTCAGCATTCTTCGGCGAAAGAACTTAAGCACTTTGTGCAACTTGCTAAACCAGAAGTCATCAGCAAGTTTGTTTAAATTTTCAGGCATTTGCCTGAACACACAAATGCTCTGTTTGTGGACAGGGGCAGGATTGCACATGTAAGCCTCACTCCCCAACATCCATGTGAATGTCATGCTACGTAGCACTGTGAAAATCAGCAGGGGACTTGCATTCGCCTTCACCTGAATGCAGGTAGACTCCCCTGTGTGCTTGGGGACACGGCTTTATTTGTGTTTTCCAGCAGATGCAAATAGCAGCTGCCTGTAGGTCTTCCTTGAGCAACACTGAGACTGTGGGGAGTATGCTGTGCACAGGGTTGTTGGCGGTGCGTTCATAAGTGCCCCTGCTGCCACCCACATGTCAAAAACCTCAAGTATGCAAGGCTGCACATGTTTATCATAAATAACATTACGTTCTTGAAAGCGTTACATGTATTGCTTTAGGCCTTAATATGAAGATGGGACACGGGTGGCGCTGTGGTCTAAACCACTGAGCTTCTTGGGCTTGCAGATGAGAAGGTGGGCGGTTCAAATCCCCGCGACGGGGTGAGCTCCCATTGCTCTGTCCCAGCTTCTGCCAACCTAGCAGTTTGAAAGCACGCCAGTGCAAGTAGATCAACAGGTACCGCTGCGGCGGGAAGGTAAATGGCGTTTCTGTGTGCTCTGGTTTCCGTCACGGTGTTCCATTGTGCCAGAAGTGGTTTAGTCTTGCTGGCCATATGACCTGGAAAGCTGTCTGTGGACAAACGCCAGTTCCCTCAGCCTGAAAGCGAGATGAGCGCCACAACCCCATAGTCGCCTTTGACTGGACTTGACCACCCAGGGGTCCTTTACCTTAATATGAAGGTGGTTAGAAAGTAGACCAGGGTCCACTAGTGGAGCACTGGCCAGTTTCTAGTTGACTACACAAATCTGAGAGTCTTGTTAAAGATGCCAGGTTTTGGTAGGCCTTGGTCTGGTCCATCAAGGTATCCCTATGTTCTTAGGCAAGAGTGACTTCTCAGGATCACATGACACAGAATGGTTAATTCTGATGATAAGAGATCCTGAGGCTGATGGAACGCAAGCAGTCTAGGTTTTGTCCTTATTTTAAGTAGTTCGCACAAAACTGCAGGGAGCCCACTACCGTCTTAGTAGATAGTGTGTGAGTTCCATTGGCTAACATTTAGTATTACTCATAGATAAAAGCAGGTTTGACTATAAAATGGAATCACCTGTGAATCTGTTAGATGCACAATCATTCTGTCTAATACAGCGTATTTTTAATTTTCAAAAGGCTTATTACATCCTGAACTTTAGCCCTTCAGTTTGGCCCCTGTCTTCTAATTATGCTGTTCAGCTGTGTGAGAGCATTTTTTTCTCCAGCTGTTGTCTGCCAATGCATCACTGAATCATTAATATTTGGAGTACTGAAATGCTGTCAAGAGAAAATGCCAAGCTCTCCACTGCACAGCCCTTCAGATAATATGAGTGAATGGTATAAAAAGGCACAAGAGCAAATTTTGGTTAGGTTTGAAGTATGGTTGCACCCAGTGCTTTTTTTTTCTAGAAAGGTGTCGGTACTCACAACGACATCAGTGGCACACTTGAGTAACCCCTGGAAAAAAGCACTGCCTGCATCACATTTTCATCCTGAAACATTTCCAAAATTTAAAAATACATACATTTTTTGGGGGGGCAGCATCTTCTTCCTTTCTATGACTGTTGACAGCTCTTCTCAGCTACTGATTCCTCTCTGGGCTGCTGCTTAGTTTTTTTCTCCAGTGTTCCTGGCTCCCCTGAGCGATTGCAGCCTTCTTAGAGATTGCTTTGAGATGTAATGGTATCACAGTGCCACATAGGCAATCAGGTTTAGCCTACAGGGTGATGTCACCAGGGGCCAAACAAAGCCTCAATGCCTTCACCCTGAATCAGCTTCAGGAAAAAGAAACGGCAGCCCATTGTTGATTTATTTGCTGCAGACTAGCAAAATGAAGACTGTTGGCTCAGTTGTATTTCTAGCCGGTATGTATTCTGTTCCCTTATACCTGCCTGAAGAACAACTTTGCTCCCTTTCTCAAGGAGGCATAAAAAGCTTGTGTGCGTGTGTGTTTGCTCAAATTTTGTTCCCTGCAAAACTTCAGTAAAAAAAATACCTCCCTAACCCTCTTGATTCGGTTCTAGTTTTAAGTGATTCTTCCTAATAATTTATTTTTAATTACAGAGCAAAGAGATTGCATTCCAGCTTCATGAGGATTTAATGAGGGTTCTTAATGAGCTTTATACGGTAAGCATATTGATTTGGCTTTGCTTGAAAGAATTGTTCATCGAAAATCCATTTTAACATGTTTGAATGTTTTTAATTGAGCTGACACGTCGTAGAAGAATACGGTGTGTTTCATTTGGTGACATCTTGACAAATAAGGCTGTTGAGGTGGTCTCAAAAGAGACATTCTTATGGGAGTCTAATCATCTTCAAGACTCACTGTTCCTTTGAAATCTGCCATATGCTTAACTGGACTTTGGATGGTGTCTTGAGTTCCCTAGGTATGCTTAGTTCACTTAGGTGATTCATTGTAATTTCACCTTTCCAGCAATGTCATGAACCGTGGTTTCTAAGTGCTCCTGGACTTAAACTCGCGTCTCCTCCCACCTGAAACAGTGCTATGTCAGTCGGAGCTTTTTACTGACATACATGGATGCATAATAAGGTTGCCTCTGTCCTCCTTGCATGGGAGCAAATTCCTTTATTCCCCTCACCCCAGTTACTACTCTTGAGAGGGGACTCTGAGGTTGCTGTACTCTTGCTCACTGGCTTCTAATTGTTATATGTCCTAATCTCATGGAAAAAACAGAGCATTTTACAGTAAATGTAGTACATGAATCTGTATGAAAATTCTGAGCAAGACCCATGTTCAACAAATGGGAAAATAAATAAAACACATGCCATTGTTGGGGGGTGCTGCTTCACTTGTGGTCCCATAGATGCTCGCTGTCCTAAGCTTTGCTCACCCCAGACTTAGGAAGCTGCCTTATACAGAGTCAGACCTTTTTGGGGCCCATCTAGCTCAGGATTGTCTACCCTGCCTGGCCACGGCTCTCCAGGTTCTCTGGAGATGCTGAGATTTGAACCCGGAGCCATCTGCATGCAAGGCAGGAGCTCTACCTCTAAGCTATGGGCCACCCCATGTCTCATAGCAACCCCCCCTCCTTAAATAGTTCAAAAGAAAAGTTGTAAAGAGTTTATAAATAAAATTGTGTTATTTCAGCAGGAAAAGATAATTTAATGTTTTGTTCCATAAAGCATATTATATTAGCCCTTTAGTAGAGTTCAGAGTAATTCCTTTTGATAATTTAGTATTGACTCCCCTTTTTATTGTTTTTATAATGTAAATAAGAATGTTTGTAAACAGTGCAAAATCAAGGTTAGCTGTGTAATTTAGAGTGGCTTCTGTGGTTTGTGGATTACAGGTGTAATGAAATACAAGTCGAAATAAAAGCCTGCCATTATTCTCAGCTGAGTAAAACAGAGAAAAAGATTAACTATTTGCAGACTAAAATTCTATATTTGCCCTAACATAAACCTCTAAGTAGGTAGGTCCGATGTGCTTCAAGTTTTGCCACCACCACCATTTGGGGCAAGTAAAGGAGACTGCCCACCTGTCTACCAGGTAGGGCAGCAGAGTTTGCTATTCCATCAGTGGTCCAAAACAGCAAAACAACAAGTGGGTGCTTCTAGAACACCCATGCCTAAAATACCACTCTTCCTTCGCCTAGAAATTTAAGTGTTGGAGCCCAGAGACGGGATCCTTTTGACAATGCATTTTATTTTTAACTGGTTTTACTATACTTTAAATACGTAAATATGTTTTACCTTGTCTGAACATTTGGAGGCAAATTGATGTAAAGCTAAAATGAATAGTAAAATAAAACTCCAGCAGCTATTAATTTGTGCGTTTTGAGACATTCTGTGTAGGCATATGTCCTACCAAGCAGTTGATAAAGGGTTGTATCCAACTAAGTTCTACTTGGACTAGACACATTGAAGTGAATGAACCTAAGTCACATCCATTAATTCCAGTGGGTCTACTCTCGAGTATGCCTAGCATTGGCTACAGCCCATGGATATTGGTAACAAAAGCCAGAAAATACTCAGAGCCCTGTTGGCACAGTGCCTTCGTAGTAATAGAAATTTGTTTCAAGTAAATGAAAGGTGAATATCTGTTTCTGCAGTACGTGGCCCCAGTGGTTTGCCCAGTTTCTTTTACTTGTTTGATGAAATGAACAGTTCCCAAAAGGACCTATTTTAAAATTTAAATTACTGGTTCCTGATTAGCATTCAGGTGTGCCATAGAACTGTGGAGTCACTTGGTGGAAAAAAAGGATTAAAGTTTTAAATCTACTGCAACAGAGTGAGGAGGAGAGATTTTTAATCTCAGTGCTGCCACAGTATAGTGGATTATTTTGTTCAAAGGTATCTGTAAAAGTAAGCATTTCTATGACATTAAAAAGTTACTCCACTTGAAAGTAGATAGAAGAATATACCAGTTTGAAATAGGAATATATTTATGGGAGGGCAAACTTGGGCAGTTGCCCAGAATGGCAAATTTGAGGAGGGAACAAGCTGATTTGCCATCACATAAATACCATATTTACTCAAATGTAATGCACACCTTTTTTAGCCAAATTACATCGCAAAAATTAGGGTGCGCATTAGATTTGATGGCACATTAGATTTGCCTAAATACGGTACATATGTGGCTGGGGGTTCCCTCTTCACACAACCAGGAGCAGGGGATAAAGGCTTTCAAGGCTTAGCATCACTCAACCCAGAATTGCACCTCGGCCATTATTGTTCTCCTGGCTCAACCATGCCAATGCATCAGAGCTGCATGGACTCTTCTGGAGCTTCAGAACAGGACAACGATGGGCGGCCATGCCATCACCTTGAGGTCTGTTTGTTGCCTATTCAGTGGCCTTACCAAGAGAGAGAGGAGGAAGGCTGGGGAGTGGGTGGCAGAGCATCAAAAATCAGCACTGACTGACCTCTTGTGGCCGCAAGCCTGCTGGCATGATTGGCATCCTGGGTGTGCTGTCACTTCCTCCACCTCCTGCTTGGTGGTTGCTTGGGCACAAGTCACGCCCACCCTCCTTTCTTTCCAGGCAGCCCTGTGGAGTCCACTGTGACTTAACAGTGTGTGTGGTTGGGGTTAAGTCAAGAGACCCTGCACATTCTGAAGAGCTGGGATCTGGAAGAAGGAGCAGACAAATGGAAGCAGCAAATTTCTTCTGCCCAGGGGCAGCAGACACCATTATGCACCACTATTTGGAAAGTAAATTACAAGGGGACTTAAAATCTGAAGAGAAGTCAGGCCAGCGTGCAGATAAAATAGCTTGTAAGAGTCTTGGTTGAATTATTTAAAGGGGACCAAATTAGCAAAATGGATTCTCTCAGATGCATATTGTGTGGATTTCAGCTTAAACACAAGCAGTGTCCATATTTCAGTCTAATACTTACTAGTTTTGGTGAATTTCACTACTACCTATAGAGATCTACCTTTTAGTATTTAGTGCAGCTCATTCGAATCCTGTTAATTTGTGGCACAGTGTTATATTGCAAGTGGTACTAATTGCTTCTTGCTCCACTTGTTGTTGCTATTTGGACTATTAACAACTCACTGCTTTAAAAATTGCACTGTGTTCTTTAGACTGTGCATTTCCCTTTGTGCCAGGTTTTTTTTCCATTTTCAAAGACACAAGGCAGAGGCAGCTGGAAAACAAATCAAACTTTTGAGAATCAAGCCATAGTTGGTTAGTTTGTCTGTGGGACAACAACTCATAGTAGCTTGATGAACAAACCATGGCTTAGTGACATGTGTGAACCAGTCCATTTGTCCATCTGTGGAATATGAGAACATAGCTAACAATATGACTTCAGAATTTATAAATCAAGCAAAAGCTTCCACCCTCCCCACCAAAAAAAAAAGCCAATAGGCAATATTATTAAATTTGTAAGACTTTTACCATTTGGTAAATGGGGTTAAACCGTGATTTTTAAACTGTGTATAAGGCTTTCTAAAAAATTCAAAACAAAAGCAAACAACACACACAAAAAGAAAAGCCGGCATTAACAACAAAATAATATAAATACAACACAAGGAGCTTTTGGTGATAAAAAAGATAAAAAATCAGGAGTAAATTAACTATATAAAATTATGATATTATAAAAGGAGTATAAAATCACAGCTTACATTATACAATGAAGGAAATAGAGGGAAAGAAAATGGTCTTGCCTGTTTTCAGATGCTGCCAAAGAACAGCATACTTCGAAGGGATTTGCTACCTGTGTGACTGCATTGTCATATATTTAATAAGTAACTCCTAAACAGGAATGAAATTGGAAGGCTCAGCCTTACTCATTACCACACAAAGATTACGTGTCAGTTTCTCTGCGAGAGCAATGAACATAACTTTCTTGAACCAGTTATCTAAGGCAGAGTTTCCCAGCCGGGGGCCATGTGGCCCCTTGGGTGGCCCCAGTACATTCCAAGGAGGCCATGGGTGAAAATCACGTAAATGGGGAGTCACAGCACGAGGTTGGGACCACAAAGTGAAGTGAGAAGTGAAGGGAACAAAATCATTTTAAAAATAAATCCTGATTGGCTGGCTGTTGGCTTGAGCAATCACAAGCGGGTAAGGGGGCAGTCCACCAGGGCCTAACTCTCCTTTTTGCCACGTGTGCATTTTCTTGGAACAGTTTCTGATGGGAGAGGGCGATCGCTGAGGCTTACGTTTTGAACAGTTGAGCCTGCGACCCCCCCAGGTCAGGAAAGTGCAGTGATGGGTAGGGCTGGGCGAGCCGTAGGTGGCTGTTGCTGCTACCAGTGCTGGGCCCAGGGGCAGCCTGGGCCTGACTTTGCAAGGCTCAGGGTGCAATCCCCCCCAGCGCCTAGTGGATCAGGGCCTTCAGATGTTGCCGAGGGCCACAGGGCCCATTGGCAGCATTAGCCCAGCTCTGCAAGGCATGGAATGAAATCCATCCCAGGCCTAGCCGAGTGGGGTCATCTGCTGCTGCTGACTTGCATCTAGTACCGTATTTTTCGCCCTATAGGGCGCACTGGCCCATAGGACGCACCTCGGTTTTTTTGGGGGGGGAATGAATAAAAAATATATATTCCCCCCCCCAGCCACGGGGCTGGGGCGGGGGAAGCCCGAGCTTTCCCCGACCCCAGCCCCCAGAACAGGCTGCTATCCGCAAGCCTTGCGAGCCCGACGGCAACTCCGCCGGGCGTGCAAGTCTTGTGGACACTCACGCGAAGCACGGGCCGCCTTCCGGAGGGCACCCTGTGCTTCGCGCTGCAGGCTGCTGCCCGCACGCCTTGCAAGCCCCGCGGCAACTCCGCTGGGCTCGCAAGGCTTGCGGATAGCTTCCTGAAGCCTGGAGAGCGAGAGGGGTCGGTGTGTACCGACCCCTCTCGCTCTCCAGGCTTCAGCGAAAGCCTGCATTCGCCCCATAGGACGCACACACATTTCCCCTTCATTTTTGGAGGGGGAAAAGTGCATCCTATAGGGCGAAAAATACGGTAAATAGCTGTCTACTCATAAGAAAACTGCACTGAGTTCAGTGGACCTTACTCCCAGGTAAGGATGTGTGGGGCTATAGTGTTTAATCTAGGCAGCCAGGAGTCCTCTGGATGACAAGATCTTTTTGCACCAGGTCAGTGAGGACCGCTTGCTTTTTAAAATTCTCACATATATACAGAACTCCCTGTGCACTTTTTGGACTGTTTCTGTAGCTTTCCCCCTCTGTGTCAGATAACTGGGGTCAAATAAGTGTTGTTTTACTTATACATCTTGGCAGGTTCTGGACTCTCCTTCCTAGGAGGTTCTTAAGCAGAGGCTGAATGACCATCTGTCATGGATGCTTTAGCTGAGATTCCTGTATTGCAGGGCGTTGCACTAGAAAGATGACCCTCAGGGTCCCTTCCAACTCTGTGATTCTGTGTTCCTCTGATTCAACAATATTTCATTATGCACCTATTATTTTATGTATTTGTATTTTGTATAAATTGTATAGATAAAACATGTTCCATTAAAACAAAACATTTAAATAGCTACCATTCTGCTGGTAGGAAGGGGGAGTATGGACATAGCCAGGATTTTTGTTAGGGCAGCAGGCTTTTGTTAGGGGGGGTTCAGAATCTCATATTTGTATTGACTTTACTTACGGGGGGCATTTGCCCCCCTTGGCTACACCCATGGGGGGCGCCACAGGAAGGAAACAATGTCGGAAGGGGATCACAGTCAGAAAAAGGTTGGGAAACACTGGTGTAAGGTATAGTATGAAGATTCTTTTCAGCCCTGAGTGATTGCTAATCAAGTAACTTCCAGAATATATACGATTAACTGCAGTGCCTTTATCAGTAATAGACAAAATACATAGTGTAGTGTCCAGGATCACATTCTTACCTGTAAGTATACTGATTTCTGTAATTACTTGTTTCCAAAACATTGGCACAACTGCAAATGTGACATGGAGATCCATGCTCTCTCACAATGGTGATCCTGATAGCTGCCTAATAGTTCTCCTTGCCTCAGTGCAGACTGAAAGTTGAAGAAAAGCCATTTTAATGGGTCATGCGTTGACTACTTCCCCATGCCAGCAGCTCATTTTAGCCACCTCATTATTAGACAATGAATTGTCATATCACTGACATGAGAATTTAGTCACACACTTGCAATCAGTAGATAATGGATGTCATATGTTTAAGGAAAAAAGAACAGGTTAAAGGAGAAGAGGTTGCTGGAGTCTAGTGTGCTTCCCACCTCCTGCCAACATGGTCTTGGAGCATGAAAACCCTTTTTGATTTTGAAAAATATCTCCTTTTGCTGAAGGGTTCTTTACACAGTTGAAAGTCTTGCGTCTTTCTGAAGCTCAAAAATCCCATCCTTTGAGATGGACTACAAAGTGATCTTGCAGCATGTTCAGTACAAAAGTAAAAAGCTAAATAGCATGTGAAGCATGCAAATGGAATGAAAAGTATCTCCAAAATCCACCTCTTCCTAAGAATATTTTAAAAATATTCTTAGGCCCACAGGCCTTTTGCAGGATTTTAGTATTCTAAAAAGTGAACTGTGTCCCTTGACACAATTGATTTCAAAGGCTACTCTGTTTATATCTGTGTTCAAGCATACACTCTGATATGTATGTTCTTCAAGTCCACCCTCTCACTGTCGTCTTGCTTATTCATTCAATAGGAAAACACTTCAGTTTGGGGGCTTTATTTGAACTTGCGAAAGCAGAGCTACAACATGAAGCCAAGCACAGTGCATAGTAACTAGGCAAGACGTATTTCAATGGATTTTATTTTCATTTAAATGCATTTAGTTTTACTGCTTTGACCTATGATCAGGCTTGAGACAGTGAACAAACAGCAGCAAATAAGCTTAGCCTGTAGCAGTTACACAAAAGGCTGTGTGGTTTTTGGGGATGGGGAAAACAATCCAGAAAGCAGCCATGGCTTCCTCTAGGAGCAAACTCATGTGTTGGGAGCAGACAGAAAATGGAGCCAGGATGGGACCACTGCAAAAATAATAGGGATATATTGACATACTTAGGAGACCTCCAAGATATGCAGAACTATTACTACTACTACTACTACTACTACTATTAATGTGGCAGAACATACACAAAAGACCCTGCCCAATGTGGATTGAACATGCTGAGTAGCTACAAAATGGTTGACTGTTAATGGGGGGGGGGGGACAGATAACTGGAGGGGAATGGAAAGAGATGTTGAATTTTGTAGTTGGGCTCCTTTTGCCTACAATACTTGCAGGTGGGGATGTGTGGTTGCAGAAACCCTGAGCAAGAACACTCCTGCTAGGAGTTATGAAGACCCTGCAGGATTTTGTTGGAAGTCTCATTTGTTAAAATTGTATTTATCAACCAAGGTCTGGAAACGATGGGACTGTTTTTCCTGAATAAATCATGCCCATAAATGTACTGGAGTGTATTTTATATACTTTCTTTTTATCTTTTAAAGTAAGGCCTTGCATTTCCACGCGTTTGATGTAGCCGTTCCTGCTTTTAAGATTTCAAAACATTTTCTGAAAAGGATAAAATATTGAGTTTTATTGTATAATTAACAAATTAAATTCAGCAGGTACTTTCATTTCCTTTCACTGTGCTCCTTATCTGTCAGGTGTTTTTATTATTATTTTTAATTATGTCTCTACCAGCTGTCTTATTTTACTTATTTAAACAGTTTTGTCTCTCTCTTCAGCCAAAAAGCTCCCAGAGGCAATTTTCATAAGTGTAATTTTGTAAGGGTTATTATACTTTCCTGGGCATTTCGAATTAAGGGGCAAAGTGTCCTTCATATTTAAGCAGTCTGGGGGGTAATGATTGTCTACTAGAAGGGAACAACATAATGTTCAGGAGGGGAGGGAAAACTACCTCTGTAAACTTAGAAAAATACTAGCTTCAGAGTAACAGACCTGAATGGCATGTAACTCATCTCTGTTAACCTGGTCATAGCTCTGCAGTTCTTGCGATCTACCATGTCTGCCTTGCTGATCAAGGTAGATAGTGAAGATACATAGGGAATTATTCTCTGAGCCCCACCATTATTAGATTATTTCCTCATAAACTGCTCAGGTGTTTGAGCTGGTGTACATTTAGAGGTTTTATTTATCACTTGGATTTTTTAAAAAAATTCTATAGCCTGCCCAGAGTCCAAAGACTAAAACAGGTAATAATTCATTTTCTCTAAGCTCACCATTAACTTCTTCTGTCATAGGTCATGAAAACTTACCATATGTATCATACAGAAAGCATCAGTGCAGAAAGCAAACTAAAGGAAGCTGAAAAACAGGAAGAGAAGCAAATTGGCAGGTCGGGAGATCCTGTTTTTCACATTCGGCTGGAGGACAGACACCAGAGACGCAGCTCTGTGAAGAAAATTGAAAAGATGAAGGAAAAAGTACATTTATCCATTAATACCACTTAATCATTTGAAGTTAATGAATTATAGTTCCAATATTCTGAGGTGGGGGCATAGATCTGTTGTAAGGATGGCCAGTCAACAGGAGGTGGACTTGAAAGGGGATTGGAACTCCCATTAGTGCTTTTGTTGTTTTATATTATGATTAAATCTTAAATCTAAGGCAGAATGAAGCTAAGCGTACACAGTGGAGACTTGAAAATAGCAACATACAGGCATATTTTGGAAAGCAGCAGCAATTTAATACATACTGACCATGTAGTCATTTTGCTGTTACTTTCTGAACATTCATTCATTTAGAATTTGCTAAGTGAGATAACTGGTGCATTTTTACCATATTTTAATGCTATTCTTTCCCCCTCAGCGTCAAGCAAAATATTCTGAAAACAAGCTGAAATCCATTAAAGCCAGAAATGAGTATCTGCTAACCCTTGAAGCAACAAACGGCACTGTGTTCAAGTATTACATTCATGACCTTTCAGATCTGATTGATGTAAGTAGTTGGTATTCATGCAATTCTTACATGAAGGGGTCACAAAGCCTCTGAGCCCCATACTCACTGCCCCCTTGGCCTTGACATGGTTAGGGTGGGTCACATTAGGGTAAAGCTCACATTAATTCTGCTGGATCTAACATGAACACAGATCTCTTGAAAATAGTTGTGTACATGTGTGTGCATGTACTTTCTCTTTTTCTGTCCCTCTGGGGCAAGACTGATCTAGGAGAGAGTGAAGTGACCAGTGGAGGCAGCTACTGTTCAAAAATCCAGATGTGCCCATGGGCCTAAAAAAAGTTTGACTCTTAAGTATCCTGCTCTGATTAGAGCCAGGGTCTTGGAAGGACATAAGACAGTGGCCTGATTCACACATCACTTTAAAGCAGAGTTACACTAAATTACAGTTTAAATGTGAACACACGGCATGCGGGTACACACTGCTGAAATTGCAGGTGCTTCTTCATGCTGTGTTGGGAAGCAAGCCATTTTTTTTTGGAGAAGCAGTTGTTTGTTGCTGAAGGGCATCCCTTAACATCTGGATGAACTAATACTAACTAAAGTTTCATTAGGTTCCCTCCCTGCAAGAATGAGGTTACAGGGAAACAGGCAGAGGGCCTTTTCGGCAGTGGCACCCGCCCTGTGAAACCCCCTCCCATCAGATGTCAAACAAATAAACAACTATCTGACTTTTAGAAGACATCTGAAGGCAGGCCTGTTCAGGGAAGTTTTTAATGTTTGATCTTTTATCGTGTTTTTAATATTCTGTTGAGAGCCAGCCAGAATGGCTGGGGAAACCCAGCCAGATGGGCAGGGTATAAATAATAAATTATTATTATTATTATATTCAATATTCATTGAATATAATAATACCATTTGTGTGGGAAACACACAATGTTTTGTAAACATTTCCCCTGTGCACAGGCACTGCAGGTCTATATGCTAATTTACAGTTATGATTAGGTTGACCATATCTCCTAAAGTTTTTCTTGTGATAATAGGCATGCATTATACGATGGGTAGCCCATTTTCATTAAATATTCTCATTCCTTATACAAGAATTATGTTTTTTTAAATAAAAAAACTGTTTAGAAGCATAAGATAAAGTTGGAATAATGTAATGATCAAATAAACAAAGAATTGTAGTGCACAGTTCCATGTGATCCAACTTTTCTGTCTTCAGAATGGTATAATAAATTGTACTATGGTAAAGATTAAATAACATTTGTCAAGCCCCATTGAAAGATAAAGAATTTTACTATGGATGGTTTCTCTTATTAAGTGCTTGTTTGTTCATTAGATAGTACTGCTGAAATTTGCTTTCTGCTTTTTTAAAAAACACAACTTCTTCTCCTTCATATTCTGTTAGTGTTGCGATCTTGGATATCATGCAAGCCTGAACAGAGCCTTAAGAACATATCTCTCTGCAGAGTATAACCTTGAAACCTCTCGGCACGAGGGTCTGGACATCATTGAAAATGCTGTTGACAATTTGGAACCACGAAGTGACAAGCAGAGATTCATGGAGATGTATCCGACAGCCTTTTGCCCTCCAATGAGATTTGAGTTCCAGCCCCATATGGGTGATGAGGTCAGTAGCTGTTGACTTTCCATAGACAGAAAAGGATAAAAATCCAAACAAAATTTTTGTTTGTGCCTGGATGAGCACTTCCCTCTGTTGTGAACTTTGATTTCCTTTTTGTTAGTGTCTAGCTTTTATCCACTCAAACAAAGGGTCTAGTTAGGGTAAAACGAGAGCCAACGTTATTCATACAGACGCAAGAAGATCAGCAAACAAACTACACCAAGAGAATGTTTTGTGTAGAACTTAATTTGCCAGCTGCTCTAAACAAATCCCATGCCAAATGAACCCGTCATTACTGTGCATTGAAATCTGCCACAACATGGGTAAACTCTCTGCAGCTTGGCCAAGTAGCTTTCGGCATACAAACAGAGCAAAAGGAAAGTTGTTTTTATAGCATTCTTATGCTGCTCATGTTTCTCTAGAGCATCCCTGAGCATCTTCAAAAGTATGGTGAGACACTGTCTATTAACATACAACTTTTCAGAAACTTGGAGATGGTATCAGAACCATCTTCCTACAATACACATGTCCATTTTTTGTGTCTTCCCATGGCCTTTAGTCAGACTCTATACCTGCAAATTTCCATGCTGCGTCAAGCAGTGCTGGGAAAAAGATGAAACCAATATGCAGAGCTTTATCCCGATTTCTGTTATAGATGTGTGAATATGTGGCTCTAAAGGGAAACTGTTGGGTATTGCCTATGTGTCCATTATTACTGTAAACTCCCCATCTGTGCCTCAAATACACATGCCTAAAACAGTTCCATTTTACACATCCATGTGATTGCCGTCATTCCCGCTATTTCTTTTTCTTATATGGATTTCTCATAAACATATGTACAAACTAACACATAAACACACAGTAACAACCATACATCCCAGCGGGAGCCACTCTGCGGAGAGTCTGAGGGCATACATTGCTGCCTCCATTGCATCCCCATTATGATGTCCAGCAGAGCTTTTCCGGGTTGTACGGGGCCTTTTACAGGCTGGCCCAAAGGAGGTGGTAGAACCAATGGTAGCTCGCTGTGACTTGTTTGCAAAGCATTTTGAGGATAAAATTGCTTGCATCCACCAAGACCTTGACTCTGCTGTTATAGCAGATGAATCTCATAGGATGTCCAGAGCACAGTCTGGTCCTGTTGTGTTGGATGAGTTTCAGTTGGTAAGGCTCAAGGATGTGGACATGGGGCTCGAATCCGTCAGGGCGACCACTTGTGCTCTAGATCCTTGCCACTCTTAGCTGATAAAAACCAGCAGGGAGGGAACAGCTGCCTGGGCCAAGGAGGTGATCAATGCCTCTTTACAAGAGGGGGTGGTCCCTGCCTGTTTGAAAGAGGCAGTGGTAAAACCACTCTTTAAGAAACCTTCCCTGGATTTGGATAACCTAACTACCTACTGATCAGTTGCTAATCTCCCTTTCCTGAGCAAGGTTCTGGAGTGAGTGGTCGCAGACCAGATCCAGGTGCTTTTGGAAGAATCTGATTTTCTAGATCCATTTCAGTTGGGGTTTAGGCACAGAAACTGCTTTGGTTGCCCTGTATGATGACCTCTGTCAAGAGAGAGACAAGGGAAACATGTCCCTGTTAATTCTTCGCAACCTTTCAGCGGCTTTTGATACCATCAACAATGGTATCCTTCTGGAGCGACTGTCTGAACTAGGGGTGGTGGCACCACTTTGCAGTGGTTCCAATTCTACTTGGATTGTTGTTCCCAGAGGGTGTTGCTTGAGGAATACTTTTCAGCCCCATGGACATTCAATGTGGGGTTCCACAGGGCTCAATCCTATACCCTATTTTGTTTAACATCTACATGAAACCGCTGGGTGGAGCTATCTGGAGGTTTGGAGTACGTTGTCTACAGTATGCTGATGACACGTAGCTCTATTTCTCCTTTACATCTGCAGGTGAGACAGTGGAAGTACTGGACCAGTGTCTTGCCTCAGTAATGGACTGGATGAGAGCCAATAAACTGAAACTCAATCCAGATAAGACTGAGGCACTGTTAGTGGGTGGTTCCCTAGACTGGATGGGTGGGAGATGGGTCTTGATGGGTTACACTTCCTCTGAAGGAGCAGGTTCATAACTTGGGGGTGCTCCTGGATCCTTTGCTGTCGCTGAAGGCTCAGGTGGCTGCAGTGGCCCAGAGTGCCTTCCATCAGCTTTGGCTGGTGGCCCAACTACGCCCCTATCTGGACAGGGATAGCCTGACTACTGTTTTCTATGCTCTGGTAACCTCAAGGTTAGATTACTGCAATGTGTTATACGTAGGGCTGCCCCTGAAGACAGTTCAGAAACTTCATCTAGTGCAGAATTCAGTGGCCAGGTTGCCCACCGGAGCAAGAGGGTTTGAGCATATTAAACCTATCCTGGTCCGATAACACTGGCTACAAATTTGTATCAGGGCCCAATTCAAAGTGCTGGTTTTGACCTATAAAGGACTGCAATACCTCAAGGACCGCTTCTTTCCATATGAACCTAACCAGACTCTGAGATCATCTTCTGAGGCCCTTATTCATGTGCCTCCTCCTCAAGAGGTCCGGAGGGTGGCAACACGAGAACGGGCCTTCTCTGTAATGGCTCCCCGTCTATAGAATGCTCTCCCAAGGGAAGTTCACCTGGCGCCTTCATTATACACCTTTAGGTGCCAGGCACAAACATTCCTTTTTAACCAGGTGTTTGGTTGATTTGATTGACATCCTATGCCCTTTTAAAATGTGCTGGTTTGGGGGGGGGTTATTGGGTTGTTGGATTTCTTTTGATTATGTATTTTGTGGTTTTATATTTTGATTTTATTCCGTGAACCTCCCTGAGACCTCCAGGTATAGGGCAGTATATAAATTCAATAAATAATAATAATACATGGAACAAAACCACTGACTGGACAGAACAACCCAGTGAAGACTAAGCATGCTCAGTGCTGACTGACTGATGAGGGAGTAAAGAAACACCAGGTGGGAAGTGGAATGCAGTGGCTGGAATCCTGAACTTCACACTGCAACATTATGTTGCAGGTTCCATTAGTTTGGTTTGAATATTTATTGCCTTTAAGTAAGGCAGCATAATTTGCATCACTTATTTTGTCCTTTGTCCTGACAATTGCTGAAGTGATCCACAGAATCATAGATACATGTGTTGGTGAACTCCCTCCCTGCTCCGTCCCCAAATTTTTACCTAATCTCTTCGTTTGATATTTCATATTCAGGTTTCTCAGGTCAGTGTCCAGCAGCCAGTCCAAGGGGAACTCATGCTTAGGTATCAGCAGCTTCAGTCACGACTGGCCACATTGAAAATTGAAAATGAGGAGGTAAGATGGACTGCAGTTTGTCAGGCATAGCATTGGCACTCCACATAGTGTCTGACAAATATCAGGGCCTACTAACAATGACTCCAAGATTTTTGAAAATATTATATTTGGCACCGAAAATGAGAACATATACAGAGAGGCAGACCGTTGTTCCATATAGCTCAGTACTCCCTGCTCTGACTGGCAGTGGCTCTCCAGGGTTTCAGGCAAGGGACCTCCCCAGCCTTACCTGGAGCTGCCAGGATCGAACCTGAGATCTTCCGCGTGCAAAGTGGATGTTCGTCCATTGAGCCACAGTCCTTCCTGGGAGGGAAACCAAACAAAACACCGGCATGGAAGGTTGAAGCAACTTTAGTGTCGTGCTCAAAACATGCTTTGTTGGGAGGTCAGGTGCCATTGGAAGAAAGAAGATGCAGGTGGCATGTCCGCTTCACCACAGGGGGAATAAAGTAACACTCACTTAGGCAAGGGTACTGCCCAGGCTGACATGACCTTTTTCTTTCAAGGAAACAGCCCTGAAAGGGGATGCGCTGGATCAGGTGGCGCTGAATCAGCTTCTGTTTCAGCAGATTGCTGCTTGCCCTGCCACCCAGAACACTCAGAGGGAGGCTGCTGTAGCCCTGAGAGAGGCCAGATTGCCTGGCAGGCCCAGTTGGGCCCTTCAGAAACACCTGGCCCTGCACTTCTTTCAGGGCCAGTTTTTAAAAGGGGGGGGGGGGTGGACCAGCGCGGTTTCCCTTCCCTCCTTTTCATAGGACCCAGAGCGAAAAGGAGAAGTGCTTGGCAGCTCCTTAGTAGGCCTCTCCTTCTGCTTCTTCCTTCAGCAGCCTTCCCAGAAAGCTCACAAGCGGCAGGGAGGGCCAGACCACCAGGGAGACATACGGAGGAGGTGCTGGCAGGGTGGTTTGGGGAGTCTCAAAGGGAAAATTGCACAGGACCCACTGAGCAAAAAGGGCTGTCAGGAACTAGTTTGTTTAGTTTTTGCACTTATCTCATAAAATGCATTTAACTACTTGATTGCAAGGGGGGGGGAAACCCTCACAAAAAAATCCCAACACAATAACATCAATAAAAACAGTTGAAAGCAGCTGTTTAAAACATTCAATAAAAATAATTAAAATCGACGATAAGATAAAAGGAGAATAAAAAACATGTCGGCAATCTAAATCTCCGGGTGGGCTTGCCTGAACAGTGAAGTGAAGGGGGCTGCCTGGTGTCAATAGGCATTCCATGTTTTGGCACTGCCATAGTAAAATACGGATTTCTTACTAATGCAAAACAGTATATGTAGTATTATGTAGCACCTGTAACAAGTACACTCAGCAGCTCCCTTCTTCCTACTGACAGTGGAACATACTTGGTTTTTTTCTGCTTGATACTATGAAGTGCACCTTTTTAACTCCAGGTTAAGAAGACAACTGAAGCTACTTTACAGACAATACAAGATATGGTCACCATTGAGGACTACGACGTTTCTGAATGTTTCCAGCACAGTCGTTCAACAGAGTCTGTGAAGTCAACAGTTTCTGAGACCTACTTGAGCAAGCCTAGCATTGCGAAGAGAAGAGCGAACCAGCAGGAGACGGAACAGTTCTATTTCATGGTGTGTTGCCTGCTTTCCATGTGATACGCTCTCCCCACCCCCACCCCCAACGTTCTTGAAATGTAGATAGCACCTCTTCAGATGCGAAATGCATTGATCTGTGTCTTTGCAGAAATTCAGAGAGTATCTGGAGGGAAGTAATCTCATCACAAAGCTCCAAGCAAAGCATGATTTACTGCAGCGAACACTTGGAGAAGGTAAATGAATTGGAATAAACCTCAGAATAAATCTGCTAAAATATTTACAATGCGTATATTTAAACCCATGGTTCAGATGTAGCCAGAAGCCATGATTTTAAGCTATGTGAATGTTCATGAGGCTCACGTACTCCTTTTTTTAAACTAATGACAGGTCCCCATGATATCTAAACTCAGGAAACTATGACTTGTTTAAACTACAGTTAGTATAAACAAGCCAGAATCAAACGATGGTTTCAGAACCTGGCTTGTCCAGAAACCATAGTAGATTAATCACAGAGTCTATACTTCTGTTAGGAAATATTCTGGTTCCTTTTCTAGTAAACAAAAGCAAAGCAAAATATAAAACCCCAGACAGAGTCCTGAAAGCCAGTTTATTTTACGTACTGGATTGTCTCAATTTGGCTTGTATTTTTGGTGGGTTGGGGGAGTACATGGCACTGTTTCAAAAAAAAACAAAACCAAAAAAACCAGGCAGGGTGAATAGAACAGAAAATGGAGAAATCTTTCTTTGGCAGAATTAGACAGCCCACTGTGCAAGGTCATATGTGACCTATTTTGTGTGCGAAACATTCTACATTATAACTCCTAGGAGTCTGGGTATCTCTGTCTCTTAATAGCATTACCTTGCATCTTCTGCTGCCGAATTTATTAACTACTTCCCTGTAGGCTGAAATAGTGCCTCATTATGAACAGAATGCATTATCAACTTTCTATGCACCAGCATGGTATTATCAGTTTGTTCATTATATTATTGAGAAAATGTGCCTTGCATTTTAAAACGGGCTCCTTGTAGAGTAATTCTTGTAACAGTGGGATTTCCTGTATTATCATGAATCACAGAAAATCTCTCTTTCATACTTTTCAGTGGGATTAATAATCAGGCTGTTGCAGGCTTGCAAAAACAAGTTTATAAATATCTGCTACCCACAGAATGTAATACGTGCCTGCCTATATTTTCTGCCCTCTGCATAGTCATATCCTCTGGCTCTCTCCGTAGCAGAGCTCAGGATCAGGCTGTAATAATCACAAATATATATTAGCAGCTTTTAAGGCCAAACCCTTTGCTCGGTTCTGTGCTTTATTTTCCTCTCCCCCCCCTTGCAGATAATACCGCGCTTATGAGAAAGTGGTGACATCTCCCTTTATGTGAAATCATAAATGTTATGAAACAGGCTGGATAGTTGTTTCTGAGCCCAATTAGCAACTTTGCACGCTAATGGAAGCCTTTATTTCAAAAGTGGGTCGAGCGGAGTTTTAGTGCAACTAGAACTATCCCATCCCTCAAAAGCACAGATAGATTTCTGTTTTCAAATCACCATTTCATAACACATGTGCTAAACTTTTTCTGGCAGAAACTGCAGCAAATGCAAGAGTGAAAATTTATACTTTAAATGTTCTGCCACCCACATGCCTTAATTGTGCTTGTTTAGAATAATATAGAACTAGCATCTGTTTGGTAAACGAGAATGCATTGAACTACAGATCTGTTTTATGCATGTGTGATTGAACTTCCTGTCCTAGGGTGCAAGCCAACAGTTTCTGCTGCTGTGCATCCTCCATTTGTTTCATGAGTGGTAGTGCTGTGGAACTGCTGTGCTGTTGCCCCTGAAATGCATGAAGTGTGCATAGTAGCCATGTTGGGCAGATGTGCACCAGGTGTTTATATTACGTAATATGCAGTTAAGCATTCTTATGCAGCACGCATTTAAATATTTACTCTCATAACTACATCTACATCTAAGGACGATGCATTTTTAAACTCTATGGCCTTTGGCAATATGCCTTCCAGCCTTGCCAGCCCTTTCTCTTTATGTAAACTTTGAATAGCTCATTAAAATATGCAAGCCTTCAAGATTGCTTGAAATTTTGTTTCGTTTTACTTGCAAGCAAGCAAACAAACAAGCAAACAAACTCTTTACTCCCATAAGACAGAAGCTTTAGTACAGCAGCTTCACATACCGGCTTTGCTTTTCGAACATTTTAACACTGGAAGTGGTAAAACAGTTCCCTTGGCATGCAAGTATAACTCTTGCGCAGTTAAAAATAATTGAAGATTGAAGAGGAACTAGATGGTATATGTATAGTTTCATAGAAAATCCACTTTTAGTTCCATTAGTTTTCAGATTATTGTTCCCTTATCTTTTAGGTCATAGAGCAGAATATATGACTACAAGGTAAGACAGTGAAACTTTTTTACGTGGTTTGTATTACAAAAAGCTGTAATGATAATAACGTTCACAATCAGGGGAAATAAATCTTGTGGATGATGAGTGCAATGTTGTTCCATACGTTTTCAAAAAATAAATATGCACTATTAATGTTAGCAGCTTTGTTGCATTCTTGTTACACCCACCATGAATATTAATACGCAAATCTTATTGAATTCCTTAACATCCTCTCAGATTTTGTGCTTTGTTACTATTTATCTTTTGCCTAATAAATATATTCCCTTATCTCAGACCACAAAGTCTTCCTCCTAAATATCAGAAATACAATTTGTTTAATGGTGATTTGGAATCGTTCACCTTGATCCCCAAGCAACTCATTTCAACACCTTATCATAATGGCCAAGGTCTTTTATACTACTCTGAGGCAAACATGTCCTGGGGGTCTTATTTCCTAGCTGCTCAGTATAATGCTTCTTGGAGTCAGGACAAATATACCCACAGTATATACACAGTGATGAAGGAATACCAGAATTCTGAGGATGATTAGCATTTTCAGTCTATTAAAAGACGGTAATTTTTTTTTTGTCGGTGTGCAACATTTTCTGATAAACGTGCTGCTCAGATTGACTCAAAAGACTATGTTACAACATGCTGGTTCTGATGCTTGTATTGTTTTCAGGAATTCCTGATGCTACTTAAAGTACTGTTCTGTTTATTTTTTGACTGCTGTATTTACATCTTCATCCTGTGTTTCCCCCCCTGTTCTGATAACGCTTATAGCCGAGGGCGAAGGAACTCCCACACAAGGCATCAGGTATAAGGCTATTAAATTGAACATTTACCATCTCTTGATTATTGGGGACTGTCTGCATTAAGAAATGAGAGGGGCATGTCACACTTTCCTGGTGTTTTTCTAGTGGATCTCTAAATTAGAGAAATTAGCTATCCCTAATGTGTTGATGGAATCTACTTTATGCAATAAAAGTGAAACCTCCCAGATCCATAGTACCTCTTTCGTAGGAGGAAGTTGACAGATGCAGGCTGGCTTTTGTTACCATTTCCTAAATGCCAGATCTGCCTGTGCCCCCAGCACAGCATGGTAACTTGCTTTTTAAACCCAGTAAAGACTTACAAACAGCTTGTAGTATCACATAAAGCACTGCTACTTAGAATAAGCAAACAAAGGCCATGCTTTGTATACGGATCTTCTCGCAATTTATAAAATAAGCTATATTTTTAACCATAAGTCATTCACAGCTGCGATTGGGTCCAGGGTATGCATTTACTATGTGCTTTCTGGCCCATGTGTTCTTTTTATCCCTTTGGCAGCATGATGGACAAATGGGAGGTCATCTTTCCAAATAATATGGGATCCTTTTGAAATAAATGCATACCCTGTTGAACTTTTGAGATCCATTGCCCTCAGTAGGATTTTAAGGTGCTGAACTTGACCGTAGCAGTTCTTCCAATCAGTTTTGTGGCTCATCAGCTTGCCACGTACACCTGTCATTCACACGGGGACTGTACTGATTTCTTAACCAACTAATGCTAGTCCAAACAAGCTGGCAGGATCAGAAGGCATCATGCGAAAACTTGTGATGGCAACTCCAAATGAGAGAAGTGACACATTTCCAGTTTGGCTCTATTTATCTGCTAGTTGTAGCACCTGGAAGTGTCTGTAGTAAAGGAAATGAGCCTGTGTTCATTAATTACTCTGAGTAATTGGCCTCTGTTTACAAAGACCCTAGGATTAATGTGCAGGGCTTCTTTTCACACAGAGATTCATTGTCTGCTCCCTTTGGGGTCCGTTCAAGGTACAGGCACTCTATCAACATGCTAGCCATCAGAATCATAGAATTGGAAGAGACCCTGAGGGTCATCTAGTCCAACCCCCTGCAATGCAGGAATTTCAACTAAAGCATAGACGGAAGCATAATAGCAGGCATATGACTAGCCTCTAATACCCAGGAGGTAAAATTATCCTGGCCTTCTTGTACTAAAGTCAAAATCCAAACATTGTAAAAAACATTAGGAAACAATGGATGCGAAAACTATTAATCAGAAAAAGAGAGAGGATAATTGCTTTCCCCCATGGAGCTAGTGACAGAACACAGATATGCCTTCAGAATACTAACTATGTAGTTTTCATAGCAGCGGCAGGAGAACAGCTGTAGTAATACTCTGACAAATTGAGGCCAAATTATGTCTAGGCAGACCCTCCTGCATCTTGTTTGCTTCTTCACTTGGATAACAAAATCGGCTGTGGGAGGCTGAAATTTGGGGTGAACTCATAGTGATTGGAGCAGGGGGTGGTGCTTAGTACTTCCTGGCATTTGCTCATTAAAAAAGCACACCGGGCTTTCCAGGGGTAGTGGAAAAACCCCAGGGATCATATGTGAGAACATTTTTCTCATTAACAAAATGGTAAATGCATTATTTCAGTTCATGTCATCTTATAGTAACCTTGAGTAATGGATTCCTTCTTGTAGTTATTTCCTGTAAAGGGACTGAAAAATCTATGACAGCTTTTGTGATTGCATTGAATTAGGTAAATGTGAAATTTTAGCAAACCATTTCATAATGGTTGAAATTTCTTACTGCAAACAATACCCTTGGGTTGCTTTACATTCCTTGCATATTTCAGCTTTGCAAAGGTGAATGTGGTTTATATAAATTTCCTCTCTCCCTCCCTCCCTCTCTCTCTATATATATGCATTTATTAATTTTGTAAAACTATAGCATTGCTGTTTATTTCCCTTGAATAGCTTAATGAAGATGCTCTTAGGACTGCAAGGATGTTGAAGCGAGGGCAGCCCTAGGCTACAGGGGCGCAGTGGCCAAAGCAGTTGTTTAACTAATTACGAGTAAATTTTTCTGTTATTATTTATTTGGGCCATATGTCATAGCAGTATAGCATCATCATAAATTATATTAAGGCATAAAACTAATACAAGGCATAAGGCACTACATTTGTAATCTAATACATAGGATGAGTTCAAGTGTAATAACCTAATAAACTATGATTTACAGTCGTGCCTTGGATTCCAAATGCCTTGGTATCCGGACGTTTTGGCTCCCAAACGCCGCAAACCCGGAAGTGAGTGTTCCAGGTGGTGAACGTTCTTTGGAACCTGAACGTCCGATGGGGCTTCTGCGGCTTCTGATTGGCTGCAGGAGCTTCCTGCAGCCAATCAGAAGCCACACTTTGGTTTCCAAACGTTTTGGAAGTCAGACTTCCAGAACAGATTCCGTTCAACTTCCAAGGTACGACTGTATTAGGCTGAGTGTAGTGTCTGCATACTCTTCATCTTTGAAGATTCCGTACAGCTTTCTTGCTCCTGGTTTTATATTCTGATTAATAAACAGAGATCAAGCCACAGTTTCCCAGCTCAGGTGTAACAGGAAACTGTGGTTCTTAAACTGTAGTTTAAGAAACCCTAGAAATACACAAGCAAAGGAAGAAAGAAAAAGGGGGGAACACAGAAGCACATTAATTCTTGGTAAGATTTATTAGATCAAGGTTGTTACATCTGAACTGGAGTTCTGAAAAAGATGCTGACAACTCTTCATGCTCCTAAGTCAAGATTCTCTATTTCCAATGTGGTTTCCTTGTCAGTGTTAGCAAAGAGTCCAGGTTTTTTAAGGTACTTGCTATCACATTTGGTCAGCTGCCTTCAAGAAAAAACATACAGAATGCATACTTATAAAGGCTGTGCATTACTTTCTGCTCCTGACAAACTGAGGAAGATAATTCAGTTTGGAAAGATTTTATTTTTTTAAGATAAAGCCTTTGATTCTCAAATGCATTACTGGAACGAGTATGGTTCTAGTGAGGTTTGTGTTTACAGATCATTATGAGTTTGAGGCTGATTCCTAATAGTGATAATTCCTTTTTGCAGAGATAATCTCTCTTATATTATTTGTGGTATATTTTGGGTGATTTTTCTTCCTTCATAGGACTCTGGGCAAGTAATCCCCCTCATTGTAGAAAGCTGCATCCGGTTTATCAACTTGTATGGTGAGTTCCAAAATTCAATTTTACTTAATCCTAGTTGGTGTTTCTTCAGAATATTGTGCTTATTAATAATTATGCTTTTTTCTGATGTTTAAGTCACTTTCTAATTACAGCCAGAGAAGGTCGTAAAGCTTTAATCCAGCATTAAGGAGGCTCACAGTATGGCAATGTGAGGAGCTCTAGAAGCCTAGTGTGGAACAACACATTCATAAAACAACAGGGACAGTGAGGCTGTGGAAAGGCAGCAAAAAGAATGGAATTATCAATAGAATGTACACAGTATAATGGCAGAAGCAAAGAATGGGCAGGGGAAAAGGGTCAGGAACAAGCTAAGAGAGGAAGTTGAGAGAGAGGAGGAGGGTACGACTTCAGTCCTAACTCCACTTACTGAATTCAATAGGACTTACTTCTCAGTAGACATGGTGAGAATTGTGGCATTAGAAGTCAGAATTGTGTTTCAAAATGGTGTAAACTGCTTTAAAAAAAAAGAAGAAACAAAACAGGTTATATGTCTAATAAATCAGTAACAAGTCAGTATTTCCTCCTGATTTGAAATAACTTGGTACCCAATTTAATGACGCATATTTCTTTCTTGCTCTTGTTTTTCAGGTCTCCAGCACCAGGGCATTTTCAGAGTATCTGGCTCCCAGGTGGAAGTCAATGATATTAAAAATTCATTTGAGAGAGGTAATTATATTTTCTGCCATGCATACATAATTGTATTTTGTTCCATTTCGGTAACGTGAGAGCCAGCGTTCTAAACCTTTTAACCACACAGAAATGCTTCCGTTCCTTGAAACTTAATCGTTAATGCACACAGTGGTGTGTCCTGATAAGCAAATATGCCGGACGGAGGCCCGTTTGACAGATTCTGCATCTCTGTCCTTGTGGGGGGCTGTTTCAGCAATACGGATACTGTAATACCTTAGGGTAACATGCAGATTACTGCAGAAGGCATGTAAGCAGTTCATGGGTGCAACACATTCAGGTGGCAGCAGTTTAGTGTACTGGTTCAGCAGATCCAAAGCCAGCCATGGGCAAGGTATGGACTTTCTCTTAATGTCTTTCAGACTCTGCTTAGGACTAGGGTCAAGTCCCACAAAGTGGCTTTCCAAGACATGACTTTTACTAGAATAAAAAAATGATACCATTCATAAATTCAGCATATGGTACACTCGCCCCAGGACTTAGCTAGAACCTTTCCAGCTTTTCAGCAACAAGGAGCTTTCAACAATAGCGAGAAGGGCTTCAGGCGTTTTATCTCCCATATGTATGCATACTGAAATGTGATTGTGAAAGTCAACATGGAAATTTAAGTGTGTGACCACGTCAGGATTTGAACCTTTGGGCTCCAGCAATTATCTTAGATACTGATAGAACTGTGAAAGTTACTTAAAAGTATAATAACGTGTGCCCTCTTTGGGGATATGGCTGCCAACATTTTAATTTACAGCCAGACATTTACAGATTGTTTTTTTCATTCAAATAGATCCATGGAGAAAAGTCAGTCCTTTAAATAAAATGAGGGGGGTGGGGAATCAGTTCAGGTCTCCAAATCAGGAATACACAAGAATGAAATCATGCTGAAACACTTATTTGTGGATTGTTTTTGCGCAACCATTTTTTTAAATTAATGAATTTGGCTAAGCCCTCCTTATTATTAAGGGTTATATGAAATGAAGTTGTCCCACTTGCACAAGGACTTCCCGCTTTTTCAGTGGAACTTCCTCTCCATTCCCCAAAACTTTCTTCAGACTCCCCGAACAGATTCAGGAAATATAGAGGGAGGGAGGATTCCATCGTGCAAGTGGAAGTCCTTGTACAAACTGTACATTTTAAATTATTACTGTGTCATGTGAGCAGCCAAAGACTTTAATAATAATTGCTTCCAGTACCTTACATGTTAAGTGGCATGGGTAAATCTCTGTAAAATTGTCACCCACAAAACCTTACTTGTGTTGTAGTTTCCATGCCACTTCTTTCCTACACAGTTCATCTTTTGCACATTAATATTAATACCACTTTATTCTTTTCACTTCTAGCTACTCTCTCCTTTCATGCACGTATGCCTCTTTTTCACTGCTGAAGCTTCAGGTCATGCACTCATCTGCTCACTTAAGGCAGCTACTTTTCCCCTTCAGCCAAAGCAAGTGACCGTCTTCGTTTCTCATTTGAACAGTTCCCACTGAAACATTCCGTGTTAAAAGGATCATTAGGAAAGAGATCAGGGACGCGGGTGGCGCTGTGGGTTAAACCACAGAGCCTAGGACTTGCTGATCAGAAGGTCGGCGGTTCGAATCCCCATGACGGGGTGAGCTCCTGTTACTCGGTCCCTGCTCCTGCCAACCTAGCAGTTCGAAAGCACACCAGTGCAAGTAGATAAATAGGTACCGCTCCAGCGGGAAGGTAAACAGCGTTTCCGTGCACTTCTCTGGACACCAGAAGCGGCTTAGTCATGCTGGCCACATGACCCGGAAGCCAATAAAGCGAGATGAGCGCCGCAACCTCAGAGTCTGTCACAACTGGACCTAATTGTCAGGGGTCCCTTTACCTTAGGAAAGAGATCAGAAACAAAACTGCTCGTGTCATAGCATTGCAACCACTCTTGGAGAAACTATGTTCAATTCCTGTTGCCTCTCCTCAAACGTATATATTGTAGAGCTCGAAAAGATACAGAAAAGGAGCAACAAAAAAGATCGAGGGAGTGGAGGAGCTCACGTGTTTTTATTTATTTAAACGAACAAAATATTAGATGTTTAATCTAATGAAACGCATATGCCGCTTAACCATGAAATAAATCTGCTATGTGGTTTGCAGATAATACAAAATATACGTTGATTCTAAATTGTCAATAAAAAACAAAATTAAAATACGAAAAAACAGTGGTTTAAAAATATACATAATAGATTGAAATTACAGGTTAAAATATTTGTCAGCTTTATTTACATATCTGGGGCAGGCTTGCTGAAACAGAACAGTTTTTAGCAGGTGCCTCAAAGAATACACATAAGGCACCTACCTATGAGGAAATATTACAGCGTTTGTCGCTTTTTTAAAAAAAGTCTAGGTATTAAATCAATATAAATTGTTGACTTTCTCAAATATCAGCTGCAGTGAAGTGCTAAGCATCTTGCTTTAGCTTTTAAAGCTACCTAAACTGAAAACAGTTACCCAACCAACAACCTTTCAACTACTAGCATCCCCCTTTTAAACACATTTTACGGTCTGAAATCTCGATCTTTTCCACTGGGGGATGGCATTTAGAATCCATTTTTCTCATCACAATACACAGCAGTCCGCATGTTCTTGAAATCTCTTTAATTACTTCTTACGGCGCTAAGAAAGATGTGCACCTTGAAGACATCTATATTTGCTTGGTATGTGACTTGACTGAACAAATGGTTGCAAAGACTTACTTGACGCATGCTGCAATCCTCAGACCATTTTTCTCAAGTTTATTAGATCTTTATTTCAGTGGGTCTAGTTTTGAGTAGGTGCATTACTCCATAAATAGACCATATGGATTGAGTATTGCATGTCTGACCCAATAAACTTTTTTTCTCAGCTGATGACTCAAGGCATGCCTAGCCTATGCAATTAAGAGGAATGTTTATTTTACTCTCTTACATTCATTTTAATCGAAGATTGGACTTAACTAAACCAGTTATTATTTATTTAATACAGCTCAGGATCCTACTAGGTAGTAAAATGCTGTTCAGCTAGAGTGCCTATATTAAGTATTTAACTTGATTTATTTTTGCAGGTGAAAATCCTTTGCAAGATGACCAAAGTAATCATGACATTAACTCAGTTGCTGGAGTACTGAAGCTCTATTTCCGAGGGCTGGAGAACCCTGTCTTTCCTAAGGAAAGATTTAATGATCTTATTTCTTGTGTCAGTAAGTTAAATTTGTTTTAACAGCTTGTAAAGTTACTTACTAATAAATGCACTAGCACCTCAGAAGTCCCGCCAACCAATTTCCGTAAGACAGTTTGCTATCCTCTGCAGTTAATATATGTGTATTTATACATATTTCTGAATCTGCTCTCAATGTACCGTTGACCTCGTTGTAGCAGGCACTCTGCCTTTCCAGAACACAGGAGATATAGTGAAATTCAGTGCTGCCCTGCTACAAACGTTTTGTCCATGCAACTTTTTCCCCTTGCCCAATGGAAAAATTTCCCCTCGTCTCCCCCTGCATGCATCCTGACTCCCCCGCCAGCCAATGGAGGGCATGTGAGGGTAGGAACTGGACCAGATTTAAGGTGAATAAATCATCTTAACAGGCTTGTGACCATAGCCAAGGTGTTTGAGAATCCCATGGACCTGCAGAAAAAGTGGATGACTGTTCCTTTGAGTGACAAGATGTTCTGGTCAGAAGGGAAGCAGAGTTTATTCCCCCAGTTTAGACTTATTCCAGATATGGGCAAAATACGCTAAAGAGTTTGATTGGCCATTTGCTATCAGCTGGAGCTTGATGAGATCAGCAATATTACAGTGGTACCTCGGGTTACATATGCTTCAGGTTACATATGCTTCAGATTACAGATTCCACTAACCCAGAAATAGTACCTCGGGTTAAGAACTTTGCTTTAGGATGAGAACAGAAATCGTGCTCCAGCAGCGTGGCGGCAGCGGGAGGCCCCATTAGCTAAAGTGGTGCTTCAGGTTAAGAACAGTTTCAAGTTAAGAACGGACCTCCAGAACGAATTAAGTACGTAACCAGAGGTACCACTGTAGTAGGAAATGTTAGAAATGATGCCCTAGAAATGAGCCAGTGTGATGTAGTGGTTAAGAGCGGTAGTCTCGTAATCTGGGGAACCGGGTTCGCGTCTCCGCTCCTCCATATGCAGCCTCTGGGTGACCTTGGGCCAGTCACACTTCTCTGAAGTCTCTCAGCCTCACTCACCTCACACAGTGTTTGTTGTGGGGTAGGAAGGAAAAGGAGAATGTTAGCCACTTTGAGACTCCTTCAGGTAGTGATAAAGCAGGATATCAAATCCATACTACTCCTCCTCCTCTTCTTCTTCTTCATAGTGCTGTATACTGTACCATAGCCAATGATTTTACTTGTATGTTGTCTACTTGTATGTTGCAGGAATAGAAAATCTCTATGAGAGAGCTCTTCACATACGAAAACTCCTCCTGACTTTGCCCAGATCAGTCCTTATAGTGCTAAGATATCTTTTTGCTTTCCTCAATCAGTAAGTACATTAACTTCCGATTAGAAGCACTCTATTGATCTTTAATTCTCCTTCATTTTAACAGAGGAGAATATTTCAGTTGGCAGCAAAGCCACGATTTCCAAACAAACTGGAATAATTTTTACACTGAACTGAGAAATCTCGCTGTAATAGGAATGACTTGAATGCAGCAGTTGTGCAAATGTAAAATGGATTGCCCAAAATATTTGCATAATTGAGGAGAATAATAATAATTATTATTTGAAGCTTCAGTTGTAATAAACACTCAAGTTATCCTCAACAGCTGCTTTAGGATGATATAGCAATAAATGAATTCTCATTTCCATCACTATAGAAAGGAGATTGAAAACTGAAAGTTTGAAACAGCCCTTGAGAGTGTCAGGCTATATTTACATGAACAAAATGTAGTTTGGTTTCAGTGCAGTTTTGGTTCAACTCCTGTGTCCTTGGCAGCACCAAGTGCAAGGTTTTCAAGGCTAGAAAACCTGTTGCGCCTGTTACATTTCTGCAAGTTTTATCTTCGAGCTGTAACTGTTCAGATACTGTTGAGTTGCAGTTCCTATCACCTCTCAACATTGGGCATCCCATCTCATGATCTCTGCTTTAGATCTGCAGCCCCAGTGTAGTGTTACCCATGCATCTTCTCACCAATTATTCTCAGTCATTCAAGTAACCCATATATCTTCATGTCAGCCTGTCACAAAAAGATCTTTTAATTAAATTGCTCTTACGGCATTCCAGTGCAAGATTAAGCAACCCGCTTGTGGCGGGTGGGTTGAGTAATATTGTGTATGCAGCTTAAGCATGCGTTTTTGTTTCGGAAGGTCACATAACGATCCCGGAACCCTCTTCTTCTTCTTTCCCCTTTTTTAAAACAGCCTTTCGCAGTACAGCGATGAAAATATGATGGATCCGTACAACCTGGCCATTTGTTTTGGCCCAACGTTGATGCCTGTTCCAGACATTCAGGAGCAAGTGTCGTGTCAGGCTCACGTGAACGAAATAATCAAAACTATCATCATTCACCACGAAACCATTTTTCCAGATTCTAAGGAGCTGGATGGCCCCGTTTATGAGAAATGTATGGCTGGTGACGAATACTGGTAAGCTCTTCATTCTTTTGCCCAGGTCGGATTGCTTCAGTTTGGTATGAATGACTTTTAGTGTGTGAAAAGTTTCACCCGTTTACCTTTAAAAAAAAAAAAGCTATAGATACCTGTAACTCTGGGCCAAACAATGTGTGACGTTAGTCACTTGTTTAACCAGGTCAGGGTCCACACCAGTCTTTTACTGAAATTTGCCCCCTGCCTGGCTCCTGATTCCTCCCTTTTGCAGTAAACAGTACTTCCAGGGACAACAAGCAGCCAGAAGGAAACAAGTGATAATATGCTTTCCTTTTACTTTTTAAAGAATTTTATCTTAAATTTTTATTGTTGCTCAAATGGATATTGTGCTGCGTTGTATATTTATGGTATACTTAAGTAAAAAGGAGGGACGCGGGTGGCACTGTGGGTTAAACCACAGAGCCTAGGACTTGCCAATCAGAAGGTCAGCGGTTCGAATCCCCGTGACAGGGTGAGCTCCCATTGCTCGGTCCCTGCTCCTGCCAACCTAGCAGTTTGAAAGCACGTCAAAGTGCAAGTAGATAAATAGGTACAGCTCTGGCGGGAAGGTAAACGGCGTTTCCGTGCGCTGCTCTGGTTCGCCAGAAGCGGCTTAGTCATGCTAGCCACATGACCCGGAAGCTGTACGCTGGCTCCCTCGGCCAGTAAAGTGAGATAAGCGCCGCAACCCCAGAGTCGGCCACGACTGGACCTAATGGTCAGGGGTCCCTTTACCTTTAAGTAAAAAGAAAATCCAAGTACATAAATATACAACACAGTTATCAAATATTTGTATGCCTGTATATTACTTACTTTTTTATGTGGAAACTACTTCAAGATCTATTGATAGTAAGCTGTCTTAAAAGTAAGCGGTTTTTGTGAACTGCGTGGAGGCTTTTGACAACCAGGCAGTATATGAATTTTATGAAATAAATAAAATAATTTTTAAAAATGGTTTAAATAAAAATAAACCCTATTTTTTAGCAGAAAACTGGCATTGGGGTCCAGACCTAAAACATATTCTGACTTGACGACCCACAGCTGTTTTTTCTCTAAAATAAAACTTGTCAGGTTGAGCAAGTCTGCTTGTAGCCCACGTGTTTTCCAGTCTGTCAGCTACGTGAAATTATGCCTAATATCATTTTAGTGGTTTTAAAAGCCAGTTGATTAAGGTCTACTTGACAGGGAAATGGTATCAGCATAAATGGCCATGTTACATAAAAGCAGATGTTTGTGCCTTTCGTAAAAGCATGCCAGTTTGGTCAGATTTTGTGCGTTCCAGGTAGTCATTTTTAAGCAAACTGCTTTGTTATCTCTTCCTTAGTTTTAGCACCATTTCATTGTTTTTTTAAAAAATTAGTGCTTATGCTGCTGTTATTCTGTCTTTAATTATTTTATTGCAAGCTGCATTGAGGACCAATTTGTGGGAAAGATGACTACAAAGTGTCCTTTAGGACTGAACAGATTTAGCATGATTGTTATTTGCATTAAAAATAAGTAAGATCTTTTGGCTGGTTTTAGTGAACATCAGCTACTCCCAGTTGGCCTATCTATCTGAAAACAATTAGTAAGTTTTTAGGGTACTTCGTTTTCAAGAAGCAATCTCTGAAATGGCAAAACATCATCAATTCATTCTTTTCCTGATAAATTCAGACAGCTAACCCTATCCCTGTCGCTTAAAGACCTGTCACTTAAAACAAGGTGGTGGGCTTTAAAATGAGAAAAGCTGAAAATACATCAAATAAGAGTAATACTTTGTGACCCATACCATTTCCATATTGGAGCTTTTTCTGGTGCAGTTGGCCTTACACGTTTTTAAAGTGTCATCCCTTGTGGGTTGGAACATGAAATTGATGCCACAGAGCAAAATTGATTCTTTTTCCATTGTGATTTTCTGTCACTGAAGAGTGTTGAGATCAGGACACCAGGCGCCAGTATTCAGGGTCAAACTAGATGTTACACACAGATGCTTGTAACATTATCTTGACAGTCTTTTCTTAAAAAAAAATCTATAGTATCTTGAGGAAGGAGAGTTCAGAAACAGCTGTTTTGGAGTAGGAAAATGAACATCAGGGAACGGATTAAAGATCTCTTTGCTTCTTCCTTTCCCTACAACCTCTTTTCTGCTCCCAGTTGCCTTCTTTGGAGACTGCTTTTGGATTTTAAACCCAGACTAATATTACACAGGTTTGCCTGTAACTAGAAGGAATTCTAGTTTGTCTCTTTAGGCAGCATTCCATTAAGACAACCTTTTGACACACACACACCCTTCATATAACACTGTCCAGGTTACATAACACTATCCAATTTAAAAAGATGATGATGTTGAGAGAGAGAGGGAAAAAAAATAATACTAAGGAGATTATCTGACATCTAGATTAAAAAAGAAAAGAGGTAATAAGTGTTTTAAGATTCTAGGAGTGCTTTGTCTTAACTGAATATGTTAAGTGGTGTTTGCAGGAGCAGGATGCTAATAATACGGCAGCTTAGTTGATTTTTTTAATGATAAATGTGTCCATTCATAAGGTATTAATCCATATGGTACTGTCTCAACAGTGATAGTCCTTATAGTGAACATGGTACCTTAGAAGAAGTGGACCTAGATGCTGGTACAGGACCACACACCAGTGAAGATGGTAGGCCCCTTGTGTTCTTTGCCTTTCCCCCCTCCCCCTTCCATGTATATGTCATTGATGAAGGAAATGCTGTTTTCCTCATCACCTCTCCTTTTAAATGAAGAATCTCTGGCACAGTGTCCCCTTTCTTTTTTGTGTATTTCTTGTTTTTGTTGTTAACACTGATCTGCCTGACATTGGCCAGCTGTTTCCTTGCTTCTTTCCTGCGTAACACAGTTAGAAGGAAGGTCAAGTGAAAGAATTCTGCATTTCAGCACAAATTTCTGGCTCGGTGTCACGTTCTAAGTGCCATTTTAAACTATTTTGTGCACAGTGCTGTGGTTTGCGTTGCTGCTTTTAAGTAAATGCGGAAGGGGGGGAGGAAGTCAACAGGGTCTCTGGAGGCCCGTTTCCTTCGGCATTCGCGCACCTGGCTCCAGGTGTGCATGAGCACTCAGGCCTCGGCTTGCTCCATCGTGCCATGGACCCAGACCTTCACACTCATCTTCCTGCCCCTCCACTATTTACAGAAAGACCATTAAAAAAGGTAAAGGACCCCTGACAGTTAAGTCCAGTCGCAGCCGACTCTGGGGTTGTGGCACTCATCTCACTTTACTGGCCGAGGGAGCCGACGTTTGTCCACAGACAGTTTTTCCGGGTCATGTGGCCAGCATGACTTAGCCGCTTCTGGCATACCAGAGCAGCGCACGGAAACTCTGTTTACCTTCCCATCATAGTGGTATCTATTTATCTACTTGCACTGGCGTGCTTTCGAACTGCTAGGTTGGCAGGAGCTGGGACCAAGCAATGGGAGCTCACCCCATCGCAGGAATTCGAACCGCCGACCTTCTGATCAGCAAGCCCAGTGGTTTAGACCACAGCACCACCCACATCCCAGTAGAAGGACCATTAATCTTAGTTAACTCACAGGCCATACAGAGAACTTCACTTGAAGTCTTCCCTCTGGTCAGGGTTCTTTTCACCTCGGTTTCCTTACTGGCTTTACTTTGGGGTTTACCCAAAGTCGTCTTTCTGGTCAGGGACTCAGCTCTTTTTGAGCCATCAATTGAAAGCCTGGCTTCAGATTCTGGTGGGGGGGCGTGTGTGTTGCTGTTGAAACTCCCCCTTGGGAGCTAGTATTAGTCCTGGGAAGGAAGGTGCCATTTGTGCATTTTGCTTTGGCTTAATAGCAGCTGGGGGGGGGGGTGTCAGCTGGACCACAGTGGACAAGAAACGGTTCTTTCCCCTCAACCCCCCCCCTAAGAATCTGTTGTGGGCACCACTCACACATCACAAGATTTAGCTTATTCTATCGGCTGCAAAAGAGTGCTTTTTTCAAGCCTAATTTCAGCAGGGGGGAGGGTTGGGAGAGGGGACCCTGTGGGTACCAGGGAAGTCCTCTGCAAAAACATCAATACTTAACAGTCTCCATACTGGCAGCCTCCGAACTAGATATAAATATATATTTCATCAGCAATATCTGAGGCATTTTAGAATTTATTTTGCTCTAATTCGCATCGAATAGAATAGTTTACAGTATCCGTTTCCAGAGGAAATCTGAGTGAATTTCCTGAGGAAGCCCGAAACAGATGGATCATGGCTGATGTAGAATTCACACAAAAGAAAAGCAGTGTTTTTGTTGGAATACCGTGCTATCTCCTCTGTATTTATAGATAGGTGAAGGAAATAAAAAAAGGGTCAAGGAAGTAGTTCTGTCATTGTAATTTCAAAGGAGCTGCAAAGGTGGAACTATTTTGTTCCTTGGTCTAACTGTATTCACACTGACTGAAGCTCACAAGACCTATTTTTATCAAATCTCTGTAAAGGGTTTTGTAACTTGTGTTGGTGTTTTTTGTAAACACAGCTTACTCTATGGTCTTAACCCCTTCATGCTTTAATTAGAGTTAAGGGTATTGGCTACATGAGACTGATTCATCATAGAATCATTATCCCACAACTTGATGACAGTATTATCTGGATCTGAAGTTGGTTTCTAAAATGGCTTCTTCCAGGGAATCAAAACTCTGAAGGCAGCCCATAAAAGTCTCATGCAGGATTGTTGGTGCCATTGTAAACAGCTGATAGAAAATAGCACTTGTTCATTGTGCGACTGACCATTCCAAAAATCTTAAGTTTCTTGCAGATCCCAAGTCTTCTCTTTGTCCCTGTCACTTGAAATATTGTAAGGGCAAGAAAAAGAGCTCCACAGATTCTATTGGGGCTTATTTTCTTGATCAACAGTATGTCATTTCTGGATGTCTTTCCCTCTTCACCTTTGCTTGCATCCATTATGTGTTCCTTATGAGAAATTCTTCCTCCCGAGTACTGTCCCCCCCCCCCCCCGGTCTAATACATTGTGCTTCATCTTCCCTCCACAGAATGTGAACCAATAGAAGCTATTGCCAAGTTTGACTATGTTGGAAGATCTGCACGAGAGCTGTCTTTTAAAAAAGGGGCCTCCCTGCTCTTATATCATCGAGCTTCTGATGACTGGTGGGAAGGAAGACACAATGGAATTGATGGCCTTGTACCTCACCAATACATAGTGGTTCAAGATATGTAAGGAACAGCTAAGTGGTGCATAGTATCCTAGAAGTTGTCATATGCCAAATCAGACGGGTCTAGTCAAGTACCGATGGTTGATTTGTAGACTTTATACAGGCCCCATAAACCAAAGCTGTGGGGTCGAGCCCCTGGAGTGGGGTTCCAGATAGCGGGCAGGACTGCTTATGGAAGCTGGGACCCTAGGACAATTTCCTGCTGCCAAGAGCCAATCAGTGTTTGAGCTTCATTTCCTCCTTTATCTCTTCATTCTCTCCCTCTCCCCTCTGGTAGCATATAGTGATATATTTTACTGTAATTTCTTATTGTGAACCGTCCTGGACAGTGCTTTTTTGTTATTGCTGGTAAAGGTAAAGGGACCCCTGACCATTAGGTCCGGTCGTGACCGACTCTGGGGTTGCGGCACTCATCTCGCTTTATTGGCCGAGGGAGCTGGCGTACAGCTTCCGGGTCATGTGGCCAGCATGACTAAGCCACTTCTGACGAACCAGAGCAGCACATGGAAACACCGTTTACCTTCCCGCTGGAGCGGTACCTATTTATCTACTTGCACTTTGACGTGCTTTCGAACTGCTAGTATTCATAACATAATCAAAGTGCTGTAACTGGCTGCATAAAATGGCCGCCACAGGCAGCAAAAAAAGAGGAATGACTGTTCCTCTTACTGGTGAATATCATCACACACAAAAAGCACTAAATATCATGAAGTATATTTATATGAAGAGCAGTATAGAAATAACTTAAATAAGCAGAAACACTGCTTACAGCAGCTGTAATAATGGAAGAGGGCTGCTAAATCCAATATGGTGAGAATTCTTAGTTTTAACTGAAACCATCCTCACTTTTCAAGATCAAATTCTATGTCATTTGCAGCCCACAGGTTTTTTTGTATATGATTGCACTATTCCTGTTTCTCTGCCTTTTTCAGAATTCTGTTTGAATAAAAATACAGCTCCCTCTTTGAAAAAGCATGCTTTCCAGCTCCTAAAAGTCTCAACACTGTTGTTAGGCTAATTGGAAGATACATTGCTTGCTTCCTTATTATGATACCGTCTCAGTTGCCATTTGGAAGGCAAAATGTCACTTAGGAGCATCTACAAAGCTGAAGCTAGAAGGCAAATTATAAAGAGAAGCTCAGCTGGGGATATTCTGGCCCCGCAGAGCTTCTTAATTTTTCAATTGCATTCCTGCTATTGGCCGACATTTGATTATATATCTACCTTTGAATATAATGGTTATAGTGGTTGTTAACGACTTTGAGATGACTGAAAATGGAGAGGGGGAAGATCATGAACCACTCTTACTCTTTCCACCGAATAATATTGGTTTCTCAAGAATTGTCACCTGTCTTTTCTGCTCAGGGATGATACATTTTCAGACACACTGAGCCAGAAAGCAGATAGTGAAGCCAGCAGTGGACCAGTAACAGAGGACAAGTCTTCCTCTAAGGATATGAACTCACCCACAGATCGTCAACCCGAAATATATTCTGGAAGGTAAATTGAACTGAGCACTCCTCATTAACTAAATACGTGGCATTTATATTGCACTTGAGAACGTTAAAAGCACACCACATGTGTTATTTTGGCAATCTGTGAAACAACTGTGTCGATTTTTCGTTCATGGAGGTTTGAGGCATAAAATATAGTGGCTTGACAAAGATCATCCAGACCACAGGTTCCCAGACTTATTTGGCCTACTGCCCCCTTTTCAGGAAAAAAAAATTGCTCAGCGCCCCCCTGCCAGCTCAGTCCAATCTGCCCCAGGGGCAGGGGCGGTGCCACAGCCCGCCTGCCATTGGCCCAATAGGTAGGCAAGCTGTGATCCACTTCCTGGGACTGGGTGCAGCTGAAAAGGGTTCACCCAAACCCAGGAAAGCCCCCCCACATCGACCGCCAGATCCAGGGGGAGGCATTACCGTCATCCCACAACAGTGCCTGACCTAATGGCCAGTGTCATTACACAACAGATGAAACCTATACAAATAGTTTTTCAAAATTTTATTAGCTTCTTTCTTTATGCTTCCACTGCCCCTTTATTATTCAACGCTCCACCCCGATTGCACCTGAGGCTACTACCCCCCCCCCAGATTGATCCAGCACCCTCCAGGGGGCAGTATCGCCCGCTCTGGGAAACACTGATCTAGACCTTCATAGGCTCACACTCACCACACCAACACATTTTGTTGGGCAACATGTATTGACAGGTATGATTCATACGTTCTTTGTTTCATTTCCTGTGTCTTCACTTTGCCTCTCTGTGCAGGCAGCGCAAGAGAACTGAACTCTCGCTTCCCGGCAGACGCCCTGGCAGAACCAGCGATGGACACTGTCCAGTTCATCAGCCGCACAGCCTTGCCAATTCATCGCTGGAGTTGGGCTCCCCCAGTATGACAAGCCACAGCGCTTCTCGTGCTGCCCTTCAAAACCGCAGCCTCAATACGGATAGTCCAGAAAGGAGACGAAGGCCTGGTCATGGCAGCCTCACCAATATTAGTAGGCATGAATCCCTGAAGAAAATTGACAGCCCACCCATTAGAAGATCAACATCATCTGGCCAATACCCAGTTTTCAATGATCACAAACCACTTGACCCAGAGGCAATTGCTCAGGTGTGTCTTGTGAGTTAACATAGGAGTTATTGCTTTCTCTACTACAGGGAATGTTAGTGTGAACTTTTGAGATATAACCTCAATCTGGTGGCTGTGCTAATAGTGTTTATTTCTAGTTCCTTGATTGTGTTGTGTTCATATCAGCTTGGTAATGTGTGCAGGTACACAAAAAGCGATGCCTCACCTCTGAGTTAATTCTGTGCTTTACATGATGGCTGGATATACTTAATGATAAAGGTGAGCAAGATAGAAGTTAGCCCTGAGACTCTTACTCATTCTCTTATTTTATCCATACTTGATTACTTCAGTGCCTTTTTTGTTGGTATGCCTAAATTTCATCTTAAACTACAGATATCTGTTCTTCACTCTGCATTTCATCTAATCTTCCTTATCCATAATATCTTTGCACTACCTTTCCTTTTATTGTCATATTAATGTTAAATTCATGCTGTTTGCACCTTATATTTGGAACTCGGGAGATACTCACGTGGTCCAGTCTCTTCCACTCCTTAAAAATCAACTACAAAACATACATGTTTTCACATCCCTTTTTGAACCTTGGGGATTCTATTCAGCTAAGTCCTATTTGGAATAGACCCAATGAACCTAAGTTGTTCATGTTTATTAACTTCAGTGGGTGTACTCATGAATAGGCCCAGCATTGTATTCCAACCAGTTTGCCTTCATGGCTCTACTACAATAGGCAAAGAGCATTTATATAATATCAGTATTTCTTAAACTATTTTTTAAAGTTTGGAAAGTAGCAAGTCTGCACAGCAAATCCCAAATGACACATATTTCTTGCAGCGTGCCCACTTCTCTGTTGCCCAGGAGAAGCACTGTAGCACTCGTTCATCTAGCCCCAAGTATAGCGCTAAGGATAAAAACATGAGTATTTTTTACTATTATCTGAAAAATAGGTATTGTGCTTCAGATAAGCAGGAAACACCTGGTATTGTTCTTGCTTGCACCTTGCTGTGACTGAATAGTTCTACACATTGTGTTCTTGGCATTTTCTAAACATGTAGTTAGTTATTGAGGCATTCCTCAATAATACTGGTGCTTGGTTAATACTCTCACACAAGAGAGAAAGAGATTTGGTTTCCACCATGATGTAGGGAGGAGGTGCAACGCAATCCCCCGTGCCATCTTCGGCATTTCATTAACCTTGAACAAACTTGCTTCTTCCTTTGGAACAGGATATTGAAGAAACAATGAACACAGCTCTGAATGAACTCCGGGAACTGGAACGTCAAAGCTCTGCAAAACATGCCCCAGATGTAGTGCTGGATACCTTGGAACAAATGAAAAATTCCCCCTCCAGCACCGCCTCCACGGAATCCCTGAGCCCTCTCCACAGTGTCCTCTTAAGAAGCACCGAGCCTCAGATTCGGCGTAGCACCAGCTCTTCCAGTGATACTATGAGTACCTTCAAGCCCATGGTGGCACCCAGGATGGGGGTGCAACTGAAACCGCCTGCCCTTAGGCCAAAGCCCATCGTTCTTCCAAAAACAAACCCAACCGTGGGCCCTTCCTCTCCTTCCCAAGGTCCAGCAGACAAGTCTTGCACAATGTGAAAACCAAGCAGTTTGTGTGACAAGCGTGGAGTGAACTACCAAAAGGATGGAGCGCTGATCAATGTCTTGTGTTCCATCACACCATTCGTTTCTAATTTATAACGGGAGAGGTTTTGTTTTTTAAAAAACTTTTTTTTAGTGTAATGTCTCCAAGCTACCTACGTTAACATGGGTCCAATTTTTAAACTGGACAGTTAATTGTGTGTCGTTTTAAAACAACAGGAATACATGCTTTTACTTGAAAACTCCACGCTGCACCTTTTCTAATAAAAGCATCACAGGTCACAGCCAGCATCCCGTGAGGTTCAATAAGTTACACTTACTCTAGTTTTTAGACTTATGAGTGGTCATTTGAAAGGGATTAATTAATGGATTTGTTTACTTCTGTATTGTAATTGGCTCCAGTATAGATCAGATTTTTTTATATGGGCTAAAAGTTTGTATCTTGAGAATTATTAAGAAGTGAATCAGGAAAGACATTTCCTTCAAAATACTTTGTGTGTGTGTTGGTAGGGTTAGTACTGCATATGGAGAATGTATTTGCATCTCACACCGATGTAGATGGCAGCTCTCTAAATCAAAGCTAAAGCCTGTTGTCAGAAATGCTATATAGAATAGTTTCTAATGGTTGCACTCAGGCTTGCTGCACTGCAATAAAGGTAGATTTTTAGCCACCAGTTCTTTCAGACAACTGTTCACACAAACAAATCACTACAAAAAATATGTTTACATTCCTATGAGCCGATGGTTTAGATGTCTCTGCAGATAGTCTTAGCTAATCAAATTATTTGTAACAAAACATTCCTAGAAAACCTACACTTTAAAGCTGCTGTATCCTTATGATTATGAACACATTGGCCTGCACGTCACAGTAAGACATGTCTTATTGCTTTCTGTGAGCAAGCAGTGTGCTAGCTCCTAGAGGTGGAAGAAACAAACCACAAGGCTTGACTCGAGCAAGAAACAAACCATGAGCAGTAAGCCAGGAACAAGTGGTAGTTAGTTCTTGCAATTTGTTTGTAGCTTGCCACTAGCTGTTTGTTTGCAAGAAACAAACCAGTGCGGGTTCATAAGTAAGACAAAGCCAAGTTTTGTGGTTTGTTACTCCTGGCTCTGAGAAGAGTAGGACAGATTGAACAGCATGCACTGGTACAAGGCTCGTTCATAGTAAGCCATGGTTTTATTGCTCCTTGTGGCATGCAAAAGGGGCTACTGTGTACAAAAGAGTGTGCTGTTTCTCGAGTGTATTTATTCAGGTGAATTTTGATTTCTAAACTGGAATAACTCCTCTTGAGGCTAGAGGTTGTTCACAGGGCAAAGATCTCATTTTCTACTCTAGAATCTGAACAAAAAGTATCAGAACCACTCCTCCCCCCCCCCAATTAACATGTCATTACTTTTTTCATGTGTGTTTATGTGTGAGTGAAGCTATCGATCTGCATAGTACTTCATCTTTGTTGTTATTGTTACATATGAACTAACAAGTGTTTTGCACAAACTTAACAGTAAGCTATATCATTTCCGTGAATGTTTTTACAAGGTCACCACCTCACTCCACAGGAGAATTTATCGCATGTTACTAATCAGGCAAACACTTAACTAAAAACCGTTTGAGTACTAGGCTGGAGTTGGGGGAAGGAATTGATTCAGCTGATACTTATCTACATACGCAAAACTTGATCAAAATAAGGGGTTTCTTTTGTCATAGAACTTGTCACATTAGGAACCTGTCATTCTTCAAAGTGAATGTTTTCATTTGGGTCCTTCGCGCTATGCGGAATCAAACAGGAGGAGACTAGTTGTTAGGCAGAAAGAATTGCCTAAGGACATCGTAGCTACCATTGTTGTTTGGGACTGATTTACTCCCATTGCAGTTTGTTTACTAATTATATTTAGCTGAATGGGATTGCCAAATCACATGTAGCATGGACGTGGCAAAGACGTAAGTAGCTTTGCAAAGAAGTTGCCCACATGAACATCTGTGAGCCAGCCCTGCTCACACATCTTTGTTAGTTATTTGTGCCCAAAAATGGGGGGGAGACAAACATTTTCATCTCAGTTGATGAAGCTGGGGGCTATTTACAAACCTAAATTGGAAACCAGATCTGGGTGGAATTCATAAATCTGAAAAACAAGATGACAAAGAATTCACTTGGCGCTAATGATTTTGTTTGCCACAGTAGACCATAGGAAATGTTACATTCACCAAAGCTGCCACTATCTAGAAAGGAACTCGATCCCATATCCCTAGAAGCCTGGAAGCTGCACCCTGGAAGCTTAACTAAGATCCTGGACTCTAGTGAGCTTTTAGCTAATGCTAATCATAGTGAAGTGTTGCCATGGCCCCTGCAAGACTAGGAATTATTTTTGTAACGAGCCCAAATCTAGGACCTATGGGACAAACAGAAGCGTTGCCGTTCCTTTAAGTGCATTATAGTCTAGTGACTTCGTATTATTATTAATAGGTTGTGTGGCAAAACTTAAGGTGGGTGCCTGTATCATGAAATTGCATAGGGAAACTCTGTACGTCTGAATAACTGTACCGGCCTCCATACTGCTTATATTAGAGATTGTTTAGTGGAGAAGGGGAAAAATATTAGAAACAGTGCATCCAGTGATTGCTTCTGCTTAGAACATTCACGCGAGTTAAATGTGTGTAGTTTGATGGTTTGTTATAGCTACTTGAAGTATAGTGAATGGATATTTAAGAGGAAAGACTGATACAGCTACAGGCTCCAGTTACAGATAGGTAGCCGTGTTGGTCTGCCATAGTCAAAACAAAAAAATTCCTTCCAGTAGCACCTTAAAGACCAACTAAGTTAGTTCTTGGTATGAGCTTTCGTGTGCATGCACACTTCTTCAGATACAGATCTGAAGAAGTGTGCATGCACACGAAACCTCATACCAAGAACTAACTTAGTTGGTCTTTAAGGTGCTACTGGAAGGAATTTTTTTTGTTTTGACAGCTACAGGCTGTATAGTAAAAGGGTAACCGCCTGTGTACCTAATCGAATCAGTATTGTCCTTGACTGTCAGTTTGATAGATTGCAGTGCTGGTAGCTTCCTGCTTGTTGACTGTTACCTAATTGTGTCAATGTACATCTGTAGTATGTACATGTGAAAGTGCCTTTACATTTTTAGAGGAGCTTTAACTTTGCTCTTGTATTGTTGCAGTTCCATTTCATGTTCTGCTGCATTCCCATTGCATTCCTTCCATTCTCAGACAACAGGAGAGTTACAATTGCACAGTTTTAAAAGAAGAAAACGTACTGTTAAGCTGTTGTGACAATGCACTTTTATGTATAGTACTGTACATTTTGGCATGTACCATTACAGGCTTCAATATACATTCAGATTTGTTTCTCATAGTGTAACTTTATATAATAAATAAGGGTAGTTTTGTCTGTGTTTGTTTTGTTTTAATGATGTCTAATTATCAACATATTTCTACGCGTGCGTATCCTTGCATATGCCTTTTCTAGGCTTAGTGTTAATGAGGCCCAATTCCCTGAGTTCCAAGACACCTTTACAGGGTCATATTTACCTTTAGTGGAGGCAGCCTTGTGGTGCTTGGAAATATCTCATTTATTTATAAGTGTACAAGCTGAGCAGGTAAGCAAGCAGTCATTCATGAAGATAGTGCTGTTCCCAAAGCCAACAGCCACAAAGTACGAAGACCATTTCTACCAGCCATTTAAAAAAAGGCTCAGAACTCGTTTTATTCCTTGTCCAGATTCAAACCAAACAAACTCTCCTCTTTCAATTCCATCTCATGAAAGCAACTGTAACACATTCAAGGATGCATAGTGGAAATGGTAGACAAAGAACACAGATGACTGACCCCATATACATTTATCTTAAATGAGGAGTGTCTCGCACTGCCCAGGTATTTTTCAGAAAGCAAAATATACTGTGGTTTCCAAATAGTGTGATTTGTGAGTTAGGGCTTGTCATACCAAATATCATGTGAAGTCACACCAAAGTGATGTCTGATTCAAAATGACACCTGGCATCCTAACAGTGATCAAATTTGCTCCACCTCAGGAACCCCTGTTTCATGACAATTTTCGATAGGCGGCAAACCTATGCCCCCCCCCAAAAAAAAGGTGATGTCACACCAGAGTCATGTTTTGGTCCACCATCTTGATTCTAACGGGCAGCTAGAGCCCAAAAACTCCCAAAGATGGCTGCCTCCACTATGGAAACTCTTGTGCCAAGCTTGGCAACACACTCTAAAGAGGCAGCCAAAACTACAGAGAACAAATGGACAAGCCATTTTCCAAAATGTACAGTAGATTCATTTACTTATATACTGCTTAATAACACAACTTCTGATCGGTTCACAAAAATAACAAAGAACTATAATAAAGAATGAAACTGGAAAACTGCAATATAAAACTAACAAACCCAAAACATTAAGATAGCAGCACATTTAAAAAATAAGGAACCCCTTCTCACCTCTCGTCCAAGGCACATTCTTTCACATCTACACAAACCGTACAATACCCAGTAGTCATCCAATATTACTTGCCCTATTCTATTTGCACACATTCACTCCAACGCTAACGCCATTTTTGCTCTACAAAAAACGAGCTGCAGAAACAGTGGGAGACCAAATATTCACTGGCAGAGCCATAAAAATATATAAACAAATTCCTACCACGCAGATTACAAATTCCTACCACGATCACGCAGATTACTGTCTATAACACTAGTACATCTGGCTCTCACCCAAGCTATCTGCCATCCAAGACCCTCACCCAAGGAGGGGTGGAGCTGCAAGGAGTGCCTTGACCACACACAAAAGGCACTCCACAAAAATCCTAATTTGAAGGTTATTTTTCCCTTCAAAACAGCTATGAGCCAATAATATTCTGACTTTCACTGGAATATTAAGGGGGAAATCATACCTTCTAGGGGACCTGCAAACATCCTTTTTATTCTGTGTTCATTATGATTTGTGCTCATGATGCTATTGGGTGGTTACACACAATCCCACTTTCAACACTGCTTGTGACATCAAGTTTTAGATTGGTTCCGCTGTGTCAATCGCAGCATATCCTGTAACTTCATGCTGAAATCCCATAACTTTTTTTTTTATAGCACAAATGTCCTGGTTTATTTTGTCCTGCTTTGGTTGAGCCATAGCCCCTCAGGACAGCAATAATGTGGTGTCATTGGAGAAGAAGCACAGTACAAACTCAGCAGAATAAATCCACCACTAACTAAAGCACTATTATTGTGTTAAGAATATGCAGCTGCAATAAAACTCCAGTATGAAGGGGCCAATAAGAACTGAACAGGAATATACCAAGTTTGAATTATTTGCATCTTCTGGAAGGAAATAATGCAGGAAAACGTATGCATGAAGGAGATATGGAATGCTAAGAGAGAAAACTCCATGCACTGCATTGCATTTCTTGCATTTCTTTTTATATAACATTGATGCCAAATCATGCATTTTGCATGGAGCTGTGTCTCCAGAAATAACCTCTTCAGCACGACAGAGTTACAAAGGGAGGTAGCTGCATATCCACCCTACTATTCAATGGTAAATCTTGATGTCGCAAAGGCACAACCCTTTTATCTCCTGCCTGTCTTGTTTTATCTCCATCACATCCCTTTTTGTACCTGCTTCAATATTTAACTAATACAAATGTTCCTTTTTATGGATGCAACAGCCTCAGGAAAATGTTAGGTAGGGTATGAATAAGGAATCCCTCTGAAGTGGTTTTGTTAAAGGAAAATATATCCCTGCTCAGCTGATTTACATCTACTTAACTTGGAGCAAACTTTGGAAAGTCTGCTTCGGATATCTTGCCATCCAAATAACACGGCACATGCCAACTGACTCATTCTATGGAGATGATAAGCTGAGGCCTGAGAAGCTTGTTCAGTTGTCCAAGGTAGTGAGGATTCAGCATATAACTGCCATGTTGTTTTTGTTTAGTCGTTTAGTCGTGTCTGACTCTTCATGACCCCATGGACCAGAGCACGCCAGGCACTTCTGTCTTCCACTGCCTCCCGCAGTTTGGTCAAACTCATGCTGGTAGCTTCGAGAACACTATCCAACCATCTCATCCTCTGCTGTCCCCTTCTCCTTGTGCTCTCCATCTTCCCCAACATCAGGGTCTTTTCCAGGGAGTCTTCTCTTCTCATGAGGTAGCCAAAGTATTGGAGTCTCAGCTTCAGGATCTGTCCTTCCAGTAAGCACTCAGGGCTGATTTGGGTCAAATCCTGGTTAAGGGAGAGAGGAGTGATGCTTTGACCTTACTTCTCCCTTCTTGGGGTACCACAATCCTGTTGGCCAAGAAGCTGGGCCACAAAAAAACGAGAAGCGTTTCTCCATAGTGAACATAAAATCATAGAGTCGTCACAGTTCTTAAGGGCTGTCACGTGGAAGAGGTAGCAAGCTTGCTTTCTCCTGCTCTGGATTGTAGGACTTGAAGCAATGGCTTCAAGTTACAAGAAAGGAGATCCCAAATAAACTTTTGGGGGGAAACTGACAGTTCCTTGGAGGTTTTTAAGCAGAGCTTGGATGGCCATCTGTCATGGATACTTTAACTGAGATTAATTGCAGGGGGTTGCACTAGTGATCTCTCAGGGATGCAAGCCTCTGCAGTGCATATGGAGGTCCTAGGCTACCCAGACGACAAGACCTCCCACTCTGCCTTGCTGATGTGGTCCAAAGGAAAGCAGAGCAATGTATCTGGCACTAGAGCTTGGCTGCAGGAGTTACTGGAAGGAGGCATACAAGGCACCATCCAGCCTTCTTGGGGACTCCACTCCCTAAGGTATATTCCTTAGCCTTCGCTTCTCACAAAGATATCTTGCAAGGCAGCAGGAGCATTAGATAAATTTGAAACTTTGGAACAACGCTTTCTCATAGGAGTCTGTGCTCCGGGGAGTGGGACGGGAAGGGGAAACATAATGTCAAAACAAATTAAAAACAATTTAAAACTCTTTTACAAAACAAATTAAAAAAACAATTTTTATTTTAAAAAATAGAATTAGCTTGCTCCATCTACTGCTGACTTCTGCCCCCACCCCAGTCGCAACAGGCACTAGTGAAGATGAATGAATATTTTAGACAAAGGGACAGGGAGGAAGGGTTGAATTTCCACAAAGTTGGGGGGGGGGAAACACCCATATTTAGCAACTCTGTAAATGTGGAGTGCCAAGAAGTGTTGAATTTATCTCTGGGGTCCCTCCATTTCTTTGTGCAATTGGTACATTTCTACATTTTATGCCTAGACTACCTATGGCATATTTGATTACATTGAAAAATTGCCCGCCGTTTGCTGCCTTCAAATAAATTGATAAATAGATATATATACAGTACTTGCGCACCATGGCAACTAGTGCATCATTACCATAGTAACCAACTGAATATCATTATCTTCTACGGCAAGTACTGGTTGAGTGATACCGTAAGAAAAAATCCTGAACAGACCAGCTCTCCGAAAGTGAGCATTCATAATTTCCCCATTTACTACGACGGTCCAATATTTCTGATTAACAACAGTAACACTTCAGTCGGAAGATTGCTTTCTTGATCTATCCCTGTGTCAAGACCAGGCTGGCAGAAGAGGACCTACTTCACGGTTTGCATTCTGCCCTCGATAAATCGGCCCATGGAATTATTAAGAGTGATCCATAAGCTGTCGAGCCTTACATTGAGGGAGGGAGACCAGGACACCTCAGAAACCTCAAAGAGTTGGGCGCTTTGAGG